CCACCCATCCAAAGGAAGAAGAGGTGTTATATTGAAAAACCGTAAACATGTTGAAAAGTTGAGAGCGGTGCAACCCAGATTTAACTATTGATAGCACTTTGCCACAGGCTTTCCAGGTGGCTCAGTGGTAAAGAATCTGTCTGCCAATGCAGGAGATGCAGGTTGGATCCCTGGGTCGGGAAGATTCCTTGGAGAAAGAAATGGCAACCCACTCCAGTATTCTTACCTGGGAAATCCCATGGATGGAGGAGCCTGGTGGGCTACAGTCCGTGGGGTCGCAAAAGAGTTGGACATGACTTAGTGACTAAACAACAGTGACAAAACATTTTGCCACATGCCATAATTGCTTAACCTCTCTCTTCCACTCTGTGGCTGATACATGTCTACATGTGTATGTTTTGTTTCCTGTGTCATTTGAAAATCAGGTGCAAATATCACAACTCCACTCCTACATAATTCGGCCTGTATTTCCTAAGAATAAACATGTCTTCTGTAGAACTACAGTCTCACACTGAAGAAAAATTAACACTAATCCTTTAACATCACTTGATGTTCAGTCCCAATTTCAAATTTCCTCAGTTATCCCTAAAATGTGTTTTGTAGCTTATGTAATTCAAGCCAGAATCCAATCGAGTTGCATATATGGCACTTGGTTTTTGTTTCTTTGGTCCTTTTAAATTTAGGACATTCTCCCAATTTTTTTTAATGACAGAAACTAAATGTTACCATTTATTCCATTTTCATGACTATAGGCATTACAGGGCAGGGTGAGTAAATAAGGCAAGTAAAGTGACCTCTTTTCTCTCCCCACCCGCCATTTGATCATATGCAGCATTTTGGCCTTTTTATGATAAACAGGTGGATGTAATTCATTGACTTAAGTTGAAAGCTGGCAGCAGTAAATCTTTGTAATTTAGGATTTTCCTCCAGAGCCACTCCAAGGATTTTAATTCCTAAACTACACCATGCGTTCTGAAATGGTGTTCACTACAGCATTCATGAAGCTTTCATGTCTTAATAGGAAATCTGACACCACTTGTTAAGGCAGGGAACTGTTTAAAGCCATCTTCCTCTTGGCTAACCCAGTCCACCAGCAATCACAGTAAAATGACTATATGAAAATAAAACTGTGCTCCCAAGCACTGACTGGAACTGTTGTGCTGGGGACCCTTTCTGGAGTATTAGCTCCCTCAGAGAAAAGAGATCTTAACTAGTTGCTTCCATGAACAAATAATCCCAGTAGAGTGGACAAAATGGCCTTCAAAGAATGACTCAATGTCAGGCAACCTTAGTCATTCTGACAAGCTTATGAATGTTTTCATACAAGATGCATTTAAAACTGATCCCAGACCAAGTATTGCAACCATAATCCCAAATAATCCCATTATTTAGAACACGGAGTTCCTGCTGAGATGCCAAAGCCAGAAATCTCAAAGCAAAGTGATGGTTCATCATCTTTTACAAATGAGAGAAAAATAGCAAGAAGGAAAGGAAACTCCTCCCTCCTAAATTCACCAAATCAATGCTATCTTCAGTTTTAATTGACATGATCCAGAGACCTCAATTTCCTGATTTGAGGAGTCCACTCTCAAGGTGACTGTCAAGGTCAGGAAGAGCTTTCAGGCTTTTCTTTGCCATGGCCCTTGAACTCCAGTCCTTCAATAGGAATCTCCTTCTCCTTTATTGCTTTCTGAATACACTGATGGCAGTGCTTGAAGAAGCTGGGCAAACCCAGTGACTGAAGCACTGGACACACTCGAGCTTCGTGTCAGTGCAAGCCTCCCCTACACTGTTCGTGGTGTCAGCGTCCTCCCAATGTGTTTTTTCACTGAGTTTTTCTTTTGAATTATTTTGATGTGCTTCCTCATGATGTCGTTTATATTGCTCCTCTTATCTCTGCATTTCTTATACACTTCAAAATTGGATTTAGAAGTTTAAAGAGATTCATGTTAAATCTCTTTGGCAAGAATGTTTCATAAGTAGTACATTGCACCTTATGTCTCCTTTTATCATTGTTGTCCAGTCGCTAAGTTGTGTCTGACTCTCTGTGATCCCATGGACTGCAGCACGCCAGGCCTCCCTGTCCTTAAGTATCTCCCAGAGTATGATCAAACTCATGTCCATCGAGTTGGTGATGCCATCCAACCATCTCATCCTCTGTCATTCCCTTCTTCTCCTGCCTTCCATCTTTCCCAGCATCAGGGTCTTTTACAATGAATCAGCTCTTCACATCAGATGGCCAAAGCATTGGAGTTTCAGCTTCAACGTCAGTCCCTCCAATGAATATTCAGGACTGATCTCCTTTAGGATTGATTGGTTGGATCTCCTTGCAGTCCAAGAGACTCTCAAGAGTCTTCTCCAACACTACAGTTCAAAAGCATCAATTCTTTGGTGCTCAACCTTCTTTACGGTCCAGCTCTCACATCCATACGTGACTACCAGAAAAACCATAGCCTTGACTAAATGGACCTTTGTTGGCAAAGTAGTATTTCTGCTTTTTATACACTCTCTAGATTTGTCATAGCTTTTCTTCAAAGGAGCATCTGTCTTTTAATTTCATGGTTGCAGTCACTGTCTACAGTGATTTTGGAAACCAGGAAAATAAAATCTGTCATTGTTTCCACTTTTTCCCCATCTATTTGCCATGAAGTGATGGGACCATATGCCATGACCTTAGTTATTTGAATGTTGAGTTTCAAGACAGCTTTTCCACTCTCCTTTCACCTTCATCAAGAGGTTGTTTAGTTCCTCTTCACCTTATGTCATTAGAGGGATATAATCTGCAGTCTTGATTTCAGCTTCTGCTTCATCCATCAGCATTTCGCATGATGTACTCTGCATATAAGTTAAATAAGCAGAGTGACAATATATAGCCTTGATGCACTCCTTTCCCAATTTGGAACCATTCCATTGTTTCATGTCCAGTTCTAACAGTTGCTTCTTGATATGCATACAGGTTTCTCAGGAGGCTGGTAAAGTGGTCTGGTTTTCCCATCTCTTGAAGAATTTTCCACAGTTTGTTGTGATCTATACAGTCAAAGGCTTTAGAATAGTCAATGAAGCAGAAGTAGATGTTTTCCTGGAACTCTCTTGCTTTTTCTATGATCCAATGGATGTTGACAATTTGATCTCTGGTTCCTCTGCCTTTTTTAAATCTAGCTTGAACATCTGGAAGTTCTCGGTTCATGTAGTCCATGTACTGTTGAAGCCCAGCTTGAAGGATTTTGAGCATTACCTTGCTAGCATGTGAAATGAGAGTAATTGTATGGTAGTTTGAACATTCTTTGGAATTGTCTTTCTTTGGGTTTGGAATGAAAGCTAACCTTTTCCAGTTCTGTGGCCATTGCCAAATTTTCCAAATTTGCTGGCATATTGAGTGCAGCACTTTAACAGCATCATCTTTTAGGATTTGAAATAGCTCAACTGGAATTCCATCACCCCCACTAGCCTTGTTCATAGTAATGCTTCCTAAGGCCCACTTGACTTCACACTCCAGGATGTCTGGCTCTAGGTGAGTGACCACACCATCATGGTTATCTGGGTCATTAAGGCCTTTTTTGAATAATTCTTTTGTGAATTCCTGCTGCCTCTTCTTAATCTCCTCTCCTTCTGTTTTGTCCATACTGTCTCTGTCCTTTATTGTGCCCATCCGTGCATGAAATGTTCCTTTGATAGCTCCAATTTTATTGAAGAGATCTCTGGTCTTTCCCATTCTGTTGTTTTCCTCTTTCTTTGCATTCTTTACTTAAGGCTTTCTTATCTCCTCTTACTATTCTCTGAAACTCTGCATTCAGTTAGGTACATCTTCTGCTTTTGCTTATCTTTTCCCAGCTATTTGTACAGCTTCCTCAGACAACTGTTTTGCCTTCCTGCAATTCCTTTTCTTTGGGATGGTTTTGACCACCACCTCCTGTACAGTTTCAAACCTCCATGCATAGTTCTTCAGGCACTCTGGCTACCAGATTTAATCCCTTGAATCTATTTGTCATCTCCACCATATAATCATAAGGAATTTGATTTAGGTCATACCTGAATGGTTTAGTGGTTTTCCCTACTTTCTTCAATTTATGCCTGAATTTGGCAACAGGGAGCTCATGATCTGAGCCACAGTAAACTCCTGGCCTTGTTTTTGCTAACTTTATAGAGCTTTGCCATCTTCAGTTGCAAAGAATATAATCAATCTGATTTCAATATTGACTATCTGGTGATGTCCACGTGTAGAGTCTTCTCTTGTGTTGTTGGAGTCAGGTGTTTGCCATGACCAGTGTGTTCTCTTGGCAAAACTCTGTTAGCCTTTCCCCTGCTTCATTTTGTACTCCAAGGCCAAACTTGTCTGTTACTCCAGATATCTCTTAACTTCCCGCTTTTGGATTTCAGTCTCCTAATGAAAGGGATATCTTTTTTTGGTGTTAGTTCTAGGAGATCTTGTAGGTCTCCATAGAACCAGTCAACTTCAGCTTCTGTGGCATTAGTGGTTGGAGCATACACTTGGGTAACTATGATGATGAATGGTTTGCCTTGGAAACAAACTGAGATCATTCTGTCATTTTTGAGACTGTACCCAAGTACTGCATTTCAGACTCTTTTGTTGACTATGATGGCTACTCCATTTCTTCTAAGGGATTCTTGTCCACAGTAGTAGCTACAGTGGTCATCTAAATTAAATTCTCCCATTCCTGTCCATTTTAGTTTGCTGATTCCTAAAATGTTGATGTTCACTCTTGCCATCTCCTGTTTGACCACTTCCAAGTTACCTTGATTCACAGACCTAACATTCCAGGTTCCTATGTAATATTGTTCTTTACAGCATTAGACTTTACTTTCACCACCAGACATATCCACAAAAGCCTTGTTTCTGCTTTGACCCAGCATCCTTTAATTAGGGAGGCTTTTTTTTTTTTTTTTAAATTCTCAGAAACGCCATAGTGGACTTTTCCACAAGTGTCCTTGTCCAGAGGAGGTAAACATGCGTGGCCCTAGGCCAGTCACTGGTGATGTACCTGTGCAGACTGAGGATGGTACCTGGCTCCTTTGACACCTGTACAAAGAGGCTTTTGTCTGGTGGAGGAAGCAGACAGTTCTTTCTCCTGCCCCCTTCTGCGTTCCATGGTGCCATCTTCACCTCATGTCTGACATCCACCACTTTTCTCCACTTCCACTACTACACCTGTCCAAGTCGCCAACAGCTCTGGCCCAGTTTGCAGCCATGAACTCCTAACCCCTCCCACTGTTTCAAATCTATTTGCCAAACAGTCATCAGAGATATCTTTTAAAATCTAAGTCCCATTATGTCAACTCCGTGTCCTTCCTTAAATGGCTCCATTATGTTATTCTTTAAGTGGCTTCCCAGTGCACTTAAGATAAAATCCTCCACTCTCAACCTAGCTTACAAAACATCACATCATTTGGCTCCTGCTCACCTCTCCAGTCTCAAATGGTCCACCTCCTGCACACTCAGTGCGTGCCAGCTACACAGGCATTCACTCTGTTCTTCGAGTGTGCTTTACTGATTCAGGACTCCTGGACATGAAGTTACACCTTATGGAATGCTACCCCACCCCTCCTTCCTTTGCCTGGCGGTAGAATATAGCATTTGTTACAGCTCAGTTATGACCTCCCACCCTCGCCTTCATATGTTGAAGTCCAAACCTCCAGTACTTCAGAATCCAGCTTTTAGAGAGAGGGTCTTGAACAAGGTGATTCCAGGTAAAATGAGATCATCAGGGTGAGCCCTAATATAACTGGTGCGCTCACAAAAGATGAGATTAGGACACAGACACACCCAGAGGGAAGACCATGTGAAGATGCAGGAAGGAGGCGGCCATCCAGAAGCCAAGGAGAAAGCCCTCAGAAGAAATCAGCTCTGCTAGTACCTTGATTAGGATATCTAGCCTCCGTCAAGTTGAGAAAATAAATTTCTGTTGTTTAAGCCCACCCTGTCTGAGGTATATTGTTAGGCAGACCGAGCAAACCAACAGAGTAGTTAAGTAGGTGAGTTCTAGAGTAACCTTCCTAAGTGTAAACCCTGCCTCTGCCCATTTCTAGCAAATGGTTCAAACTTTCCTTGCCTTAGTTTCCTTTTCTGTAAAATGGGGATGATAACAAGAGTACCAGTAGTGACAACCATCTAGTATGCCCCAGATCAAGGGGTTTCCTGGGATGCAGGACTCTCAGAGCTAAAACCTGAACCAAGTGTGTGCAAGCTCAGTTGTGTCCAACTCTTTGCAACCTGATGAACTGTAGCCCACCAGGTTCCTCTGTCCACAGAATTCTCCAGGCAAAGATACTGGAGTGGACTGCCATTCCCCAAAACCTGAATGGTCACCCTAAACTGAATATGGCTGTTGTGAGATTGAACAAATATCTAGAAGAATGTCTAGTATATGGTAAGCACTCAATAAGTAACAGATATTGTTATTTTCATTAACTATATTTCAGATCTCAGTTTAACTGTCACTTTCTCAGAGATGCTTTTCTTGACCACATAATCTAGGTTAGCCTCCTAGTTAAATTCTTTCATAGTATATGGTTCTTCTTAATTAGGGGTTCTGAATACTCATTTTCTTCATTTTCAATAATAATGGGACCCCTGATTTCTAACTGGGCACATGTCTGCAGGAATAAAGACTATTTCCAGCTTTTGTTGTAGAAAATTATGTTCTAACCAATGGGATATGAGTAGATGGGATATGTACAAATGCTAGGTTGTACCCTTAAAGCAGAGGGTTCTTAACCCAAGGAAGCTGTGAATGGAATTCATAGTGGTCTATAACCTTGAGTAGGACAAAACCCCAAAAACCTACATCTTTAATTTTACTAACTGCTACTAAAATTTATCATTGGTTTCAATTATGAATATAGGCAACGAAGTGCAAAAGTATTGGGAGTAACCTTGATCTTGTCACCAAATGAAATTACAAATAGTTTTTTATATTGTTTATGTTCATAATGACTATGACACTTGAAATCAGACTCACTGCTAAATATTATTTAACATTGAGGAAGCACATCTATTGTTACATGCCATGGCACAAAAATGATTAAGGAACTCCTGAAAGAGAAGGGTGCGTGCCCCTTCCCCCTTTGACTCTTACTGCTGACTGGCATGTAGACTAGCAAGAGGCCATCTTGGACATGGAGATAACTGTACCCTTCGGATGATGGAACAACCAGACTGAAAGAGCCTAGGTGTCTGGGATCCTGGAATCTCCATGCAACCTTATATTGCTTATACCTGAACTGATACTTGAAAGAAGAACAAAGGTCTACTTTGTTTACAGCAGTGTTATTTTGTATCTTCATCTGAGTAGCAGAATCTATGTTCTTATTAAAGCAACAGTTACCACATTTTCTAATTGCATATTTAGTTGTGATGATTTTTGTTTGTTTAAATCATTTTACCACTAAGAATAAGTTCTTGGAGGACATGGAGCACATTTATTCATTCTGGAATCCTAGCAACTAGTACAGTGTAGACACAGAGTAGGTTCTCAATAAAAGTTTCAAAATGAATGAAATAATAGCATAAGAAAATGCACATCAGCATGTCAGGGTAATCCAATAACACTGCACAGGCAGTAAAAACAAGTAAAAAGCCTATGCATAAAGAAAGAGGTGGGAAGAAAATACAAAATGTGGATAGTAACTGTTTGAATCATAGGTTTTAGCATGATTTTTTTCCCTACATTTGCCTATATTTTCCAAATCTCCTTTAATGAGATTTTTTTTTAAAAAGAAAAAATACATATAATCAAAAACATGTAACAAAACAAAGTGGACTGAGGAGAAGTTAGTTGATCCCTGAGAGCCATGGAGAAGCTGGAGCTGATGGGTGCCGTATTGTCATCTGGGGAGATTTAACCAACTGTGGCCTGGTGCAGACCATTTACTATATACTCAAGGTGTCATATAAAAGCCAATATGTGGACTTCCCTGGTGGTACAGTGGATAGGAATCTGTCTGCCAATGCACCCCTGCACCACAGGTTCGATCTCTGGTCTGGGAAGATTCCACATGTTGTGGAGCAGCTAAGCCCATGCGCCTCAACTACTGGAGCCCACACTCTAGAGCTCATGCTTTGCAACAAGAGAAGCCACTGCAATGAGGATCCCCACTCGCCACAACTATAGAAAGCCCTAGGGCAGCAATGGAGACCCTAGCACAACCATAAATAAATAAAAGAAAGACTTAATTAAAAAAATAAAAGTCAATAGGTCAGACTGACTCATTATAAAAAGCAAAACTCACTTCTTAACAGAGGTCATGTAAAAAATAAGAAGTGATGTAATATTCCGGAACAACGATGCACAGCTCTTTACAATGTAGCAATAACCAGAGGACAATCTTTATTGAGCTGAAGCTTGGAAATAAACGCTACTGTATTTCATTCACAGTTACACAGATGGATCAGTTATAACCACCAGGGAGAGAGTCATAAACTCAAAGATGACAAAGTAAGCAACTGTCACTTTTAAAGGCCAAGTTAACCAATTGTGCTTCTGTGGTCATTTATTTTTTGATGTTAATTTTTGGGTTAAGCACTGAGCTTCTGCCTTGATATAACCCTAAATGAAGAAAAATGCATTCATATTTCAAATATATTGATTTTAATATCAAGAAATTACACTATGGAAATATTTTCATGTACTCATAATTCTAAAAAAATGAACTTCAGTATTAGTAATAGATGTTCAAAAAAATGTTAGTGACAATGTGTTATCCACAGAATAATTTTAAAACTTCTTAATTTTCCTCTATCCTGTTAATTGAAATTGTACTTTCAGGTTTCAATATCTACAGGTTCAAAAAAAAAATGTACAGGCTTATAACATTTATGAGAAATGGCTATGTTTTTTGATATAGATTGATCCGCCTGGAGACATGAAAAGAAATGGGTCCATCAGAAAGATGTGAAACTGGGTCCTGGAAACAAAACAAAAGAGAAGTTAATGATAACAAATGATAACTGTTAAAAAAATAATTTTGAACAAAATTGTATAGTCTTGATTCTCATACAGATGTAAAATCAACACATGTTAAAATTTCAGGACTTCTCTGGTTGTCCAGTGGTTAAGAATCTGCCTGCCAATGCAGGGAACACTGGTTTGAATCCTGGTTTGATTCCCCATGCCTCGGGGCAACTAAGCCCACATGCCACAACTACTGAAGCCCAGCACACCACAGGGCCCACACTCTGCGACCAGACAAGCCACCACAGTGAGAAGCCCAGACGTATCAACTCGACAACAGTCCCAACTCCCTGCAACTAGAGAAAGACTGCTGTAGCAATGGCGACCCAGCATAGCCAAAAATTAAAAATTAAAAAATTAACTTCATTAATTTGTGGGGGAACCAGTAAGATCTTACAACCAATTCAATGAAGTATTCAAACTACTAGACATATATAGGCAGTCAGGAAGCTTAAGTAAATCTGTTTAATAGATAAGAAACAGGTACAATCGGACAATAACCACAGAATAGTAATCGACAGAATCTCCTATGGATATAATCTGCATAAGTCATGGACAAGAATTATTTGCATTATCAATATTCTGCCATTTACAGAATTATAAAACAGTTCAAAGACAGTGAAAGGCACAAAGAACCCATAAAATCAGACAACCTGGACAGTGTCTAACTTTCCATTAAGATACCCAAAAATCTTTTTGGTCCTTTTAAACAGTCTTTCTTAATGTTTTCCCTACATAGATGACTTGTTTTGAGTGCTATTTATGGGTCAGGCAATGCCCTGGATGCCTTAAACATATTAACTCATTTAATTCTCACAAAAACTTTGGCTTCTATTATTATTACCATTTCACAGTGGAGGAATTCGAAGCACAAGAAGAGGTCACTCAAGGTCACAGAGATAATAGGAAGTAGAGCCAGGATCTGATTCCAGGTAGTTTTGCCGTTATGGATGTGAATATATGACGAAAGAAGAATTGATAGGACCTGACCAGTTAGATTACATTAGATATACAAGAAAGAATAGGTAAAGATGATTCCAAAGTATTTCTCCCCTGATTGTGAGAAGGGGCACATTGTTCAGACAAAAACACTAAGAGTTGAGATGGAAAAGTCCAGCTAGGCAGGAGACCAGAATTGCAAGTGGAAATAAGCGATTTTTTTTTTTAATTGAGCAGGTTTAAACTCAGTGCTAAAGGACAGAAGCCCAAAGAGAAAAGAGAACATTATGCAGGAGGGACTGAGATCCTGTATAGGCTGAAGAGAGGCTGTGTCAGGGAGTAGAACCAAGGCAGGGTGAACTGGCTGGAGTTCTTAGGCCCAGAAAACCAGAACTCTCCCTTGGGTTTAAGGAGAAACATTAAGCTGGAGTCACAAACGCTTGGGTTGAGGCTGAAAGGTAAAGCTTTAAGGTAAAGCTGAAAGGAGGAGCTTTAGCCAACAGGCCATAAAGTTTGTCAGTTAGAGAAGGATCATGATCAAAGGTACATTTTAGAAACATCTAGTGTGGCTCCTTGGAAGAAGAGCTATGACATACCTAGACAGCACATTAAAAAGCAGAGACGTTACTCTGCGGACAAAGGTCCCTCTAGTCAAAGCTATGGTTTTACATAGTAGTCATGTGTGGACGTGATCATAAAGCAAGCTGAGCGCTAAAGAATTGATGCTTTTGAACTGTTGTGTTGGAGAAGACTCCTGAGAGTCCCTTGGACTGCAAGGAGATCCAACAAGTCCATCCTAAAGGAAATCAGTCCTGAATATTCACTGGAAGGAATGATGCTGAAGCTGCAATACTCTGGCCACCTGATGTGAAGAGAGGACTCATTAGAAAAGACCCTGATGCTGGGAAAGAATTAGGGCAGGAGGAGAAGGGGACGACAGAGGATGAGATGGTTGGATGGCATCACAGACTTGATGGACATGAGTCTGAACAAGCTCTGGGGAGATGGTCATGGGCAGGGAGGCCTGGCGTACTGCAGTCCACCGGGTCGCAAAGAGTCGGACGACTGAGCGACTGAACTGAACTGAAGAGTGTGGCGGCAGCAGGAAACGTCTGGTCAAACCTGGAGGCAGGAAGTGTTATTTGGATCCAGATGTAAGCAGCTTGGACCAGGTCTCGGGTCCTGGCAACTAGACCCAACTGTAATATTTGACCGGCCTGAGGTTAAGAGGGCCTAAGGAGGCTCACAAGCCATGTAACAATTGTTTAAAAGTTATAAATCAAGCTAGTATATTGTCAAATTATTCTCCATTCTCCTATCTCGATAAACACACCTTCAGGAGGGCCTGGAAGGGAAGGGGAGAACCTGGGCGGAATCCTTGGAACTCAGGCGGGGCTTTTCCTGAGGAGCGCGGCGGTGGACGACAGCGACACCTGGCTCCTCTCCGAGCGTCGGCCGGAGGTCGCCTTCCTGCCGCCGCGCACTGCGCGGCTAGACCTGCCGGGGGCGTGGCCGAGCGTAGCCGCGCGCCGAGAGCGCGGGGTCGAAGGACACGCGGCGTCTGTGTCATGGCGACCTCCACGTTGGGCTCGGCGTGGGGACCTCTGCGGCTAGGTGTCCCCGGCCTGTGTTGCCGCCGACCACTCCGGGGCCTGTGGGCGCGCGCATGGCGGCTTTCGGAGCCCGTGGCGTCCGGGCGGAGCGTGGCCGCGGCTAGTGGACTTGGCGCCTCGGGTACTGACCGCTACTGCTTGGAGCTGCTGCGGTGAGAGCCCGGCCTGTCCCGAGGTCAGGGAGCAAGGCCGGAAGGGACCCTCGTGGGCGCGGCGGGCCTCGGGGCCGACCTGACCCTTGGCGTTACAATGCGTGTGTCCTGGGGTCAGCTCCGGGTGTGGAGTGGGAGTGAAACCACAGGAGTTTTCACATCGGTCCCAAAATTGTGGCAAAATTACTTCGTTTGTCATATTGCTTGAGCCTTATCTTTAAAGTTTTTACATGAATAGCTTTTTTAAAATGTGAAAGATGACTAGTAATTAATTTTAAGTAAGCAGTGGCTAACTTTGAGTTTTTCCTGTGTGTCAGTCAGGCATTATGCAAAGTAAGTTTACAAGTAATCAATCTTCGCCACAAGTATGACGGATAGTTGTACACTCCAAGTTTAATGAATTAAAGCATTTAGAACAGTGTCTGGTACAAAGCAGGGGCACAGTGAGTACAGTATAAACTGTATTATCTTATCTAGCAGATATGGAAACAAAGATTTAGAGAGAATTCAGGAAATTTACCCGAGTTCAGTGGAATCTAAGCCTCATAAAGTCAGAAGCTTAATGACGATTTTGTTCAGGTGACACGTGAAAGGCCTAGCACAGAGTGAATTGGACGAATCAGGTTACCTGATACATCTCGGCAGGGGCCTGTCTTGGATTCCAGGTCTGACTTGAGGGATGAATGGTTTAAAAATACACCCCCCCCCCCCGCCCTCCCCCCGGACTCTGCTGCCTTTGATTAATAAAGAGTGGCAGAAAATCTCAAAATACCTGATCTCAAGGGCTTCTGAGAAGTGCTAGAGTAGTTAACCACCCTGGATTTGATTGGGCTAGTAAGTCCAATTTTAAAAAATTCCATTGTAGCAAAATGTAGTATAATGACAGAATTCCCATGCATTTCAGTGTTTTGTTTTTAATTGCTTTTAAAAATAGTGTACCTATCCCGCCTTGTTTACTTGTTGATTACTTTTGGAGAAACAAGGTAGCATTAGTGGAAATCAGGGCATTAAAAACTGTAAAAGCCAAAAAAGTTATATTCATTTTTATATAGTTTAAAATGACCACTTTTTGATAATAAACAGTTTAGGTTATCAAAATGTACGGTTACCATCCATATTCACTTGTTCAGTGCAGTTTTTCTTTGACACCAGTAGTGTCCTCTAACTTTCCTATCCAGGGTTGAATCACTCTTACAGATTTCTTATATATTCTTTTAGTAATAGTCTGTGGATATCACATAACAGCTTTTCTCAAATACATATTTACAAATGGGGAGACACTTAATCTGTCCATGTTGGTAATTAAGTGGAATGGAGGCTGTTGACTAGTGATTTATTGAAAAGCAGGCAGACCTTATCTGATTTTATTAATGCTAGTTGTGTCACTTGGGAAAGTTAATTACCTTAAGATTCACCTATTTCCTCATTTGTAGATTTCTACTTCCACTTTATAAGGTGGTTGTGAGGGTTAAATTACATGATGTGCATAAAAATTCAGGCACATAATGACACTTGAACAGAGGATTAGAAGTTTAAAATGAAATGAAGCTTGAACAGAAGATGAGAACTTTTAGCTTCTAATTGTCCATTAATCTTTGCAAAATTTGGAGTCTGAAATTGTGTGTGCAGGATTGTTTTGGACATGTGTCTTATGCAAAGCTTCCAAATATCAGAAAAGATACCGTATAACTTCAGGTTAGCCTGCAGGGGTTCTTCTAGGAATCAAGGTTCTTGGGAAAAATCTCAAACCCAATTTATTATATGTAGGTTTCTTGGGATCTGGTTTTGAGAAACAGTTCCTTAGGCCTTGCGTGTGTGGTAAGTCAGTTCAGTCGTGTCCCACTCTTCTGTGACCCTTTGGACTATAGCCTGCCAGGCTTCTCTGATGGTGGGATTCTCCAGGCAAGAATTACTGGTGTGGGTTGCCATGCCCTCCTCCAGGGGATCTTCCCGACCCAGGGATGGAACCTGCATCTTTGTCTTCTTCATTGGTAGCCGTGTTCTTTACCACTAGCGCCACCTGGGAATCCCCTAGACCTGGGGATTAATGCTCTAATAAGGAGATGAGGTGCTACTGGTGATATCTGGAAGTGCTCCAGCCTCACTGAGGAACCACTTCTAACTTTGTGCTTCGGCGGCACAGGTCACTGGAATTAGCGTAGGCAGTCTTAGCACTAGTTATGCTTATTTCTCGTATGTCTGTCTCTCCCTGCTAGACTGAAGTCTATACTGTCTTCAGTGTCTGGCACAGTGCTTGGCACGTTGTAGGCACTGAATGAATGTTTGAATGAATAAATGAAAAGTTATTGACCCTGTTGCTGTATAAAGCTATCACAGTATAGGATTTCTCACTATCGTTACAGTTCTGAGGTAACTGGACCTTGCTTAGCCACTTACAGGATATCCTTGTATACTGGTAATCTATGTTTATAACAAATTATCCTGATCAGTGCAGAAATGGGTCAATAGTATATTCTGTTTAATATGAAGAAGTGGGTAATATTGTTTAGAAAAATTTCCAACTAAAATTTTAATTTTAAATTTTTACAAAGTTATTAACAGGGCAAATCCTTAGCTGTGTAGACTTATCTTTATTTCCCGAAGACTGTTATAGTTCTGTTATGTCATTGTTTTATTTTTCATTTTCCTGTAAGTAGCTGAAAATACTTCACATATTGGTTATTTTTTAGGAGATATGGAACAGGTAGGTTATCAAGCATCATTTTATGTTAGGAAATTGACATGACTGATATAATTTGTCAATAACCAGTTGAATGATGGAAATTAAGATTGTAGTTTTGATTCCTATTCAGTTTTTCTCACTGTTCCATATTAACTTTCAGGTGTTTTAAAAACTTTTGACGTGTACAGACTTTTTATAATAAAATTTCAAAATATTTTCATCTCTATATATTCAAAGTGTAAGCTATAAAGCTCTTTTGCCTGAACCCTCCATTTTATAGCTGAAACTGCGACTGGTGAGATTTTCTAGTCGAGCTGTCTTGTGATAGCTAGGTTGCTGCTGTTCATGACCTCTCCCTTTAGTCTATGTGGAAGTTGGGCGGGGATTGTGAAGTTTAAGTTCTCTGCTAGCCACACAGCAAATAAACTCCGTGGAATGACGTTGGACCCATTTAATATTGAGTATTGTTTTTATAGGAAATACTGTTACAGTAAGGTTCCAGCATATTACAATGAAAGTAGCTTTGTCAGTAGGCAGTCTAGTAAGTACTTTATACACTACATCGTCCTAGAATGAATATAGTAAGGTCTATATTTTTTTAACTTTTCAGTTTAAAGTAATTTCAAATTCACATAAAAATTACAGAGATAGCGCACAGACCTCCACTACACTCATCATGGCGATTTCCTCCTTGTTGACGTTCTGAACCACTGAGAATAAGATGTAGATGACCCGTCACCTCCCTTATTATTTACTGGTGTGTATTTCTTAATACACCAGGATTCTCCCCCATATTATCATAGTACAGCCATCAAAATCAAGATATTAAAATTGATCCAATATTGCCATCTAATCCAGACTCTGTTCAACTTCTGCTAGTTATTCTGTTATGTCTTTCATGCATCCAGGATTATGTGCTACATTTAGTTGTCAAATGTCTTTAGTCTTCTCCAGTCTGAAACAGCTTCTCATCTTTCATGATCTTGATTTTTTTTTAGAATCAGCCAGGTTCTCTCAATAAATCAATTGGATTTATACAATTTTTGCAAGAATATTACAGAGCTCACGCTGTGGTTTTCTCAGTATCCTATCAGGAAGCACAGTATGTTGATTTATCCTAACACTGTGGGGTGAACTTTCTGTTCCTTGGTTGAAAGGGTGTCTTTCAAGGTTTCTTGTAAATTTAGTTAATAAAAAGTTAGTAAATAATATTTATTTGGTGAGGAGATACTTTAATACTATGTAAATATCCTTTTCCTGTCAAACTTCCACTTGTTTAACATTTTCAGACACTGATACTGCCTGAATCAGTGGTTACCTTGATATTCAGTTCAGTTCAGTCGCTCAGTTATGTCCGACTCTTTGCGACCCCATGAATCGCACCACGCCATGCCTCCCTGTCTATCACCAACTCCTGGAGTTTACTCAAGCTCATGTCCATCGAGTCGGTGATGCCATCCAACCATCTCATCCTCTCTCATCCCCTTCTCCTCCTGAGCCCAATCCCTCCCAGCATCAGGGTCTTTTCCAGTGAGTCAGCTCTTCGCATGAGGTGGCCAAAGTACTGGAGTTTCAGCTTTAGCATCAGTCCTTCCAATGAACACCCAGGACTGATCTCCTTTAGGATGGACTGGTTGGATCTCCTTGCAGTCCAAGGGACTCTCAAGAGTCTTCTCCAACACCATAGTTCAAAAGCATCAATTTTTCAGTGCTCAGCTTTCTTCACAGTCCAACTCTCACATCCATACATGACCACTGGAAAAACCATAGCCTTGACTAGACAGACCTTTGTTGGCAAAGTAATGTCTCTGCTTTTTAATATGCTGTCTAGGTTGGTCATAACTCTCCTTCCAAGGAGTAAGCATCTTTTCATTTCATGGCTGTAATCACCATCTGCAGTGATTTTGGAGCCCCCAAAAATAAAGTCTGACACTGTTCCCACTGTTTCCTCGTCTATTTCCCATGAAGTGATGGGACCAGATGCCATGATCTTAGTTTTCTGAATGGTGAGCTTTAAGCCAACTTTTTCACTCTCCTCTTTCACCTTCATCAAGAGGCTCTTTAGTTGTTCTTCGCTTTCTGCCATTAGAGTGGTGTCATCTGCATATCTGAGGTTATTGCTGTTTCTCCCGGCAATCTTGATCCCAGCTTGTGCTTCTTCCACCCCAGCGTTTCTCATGATGTACTCTGCATATAAGTTAAATAAGCAGGGTGACAATATACAGCTTTGATGTACTCCTTTTCCTGTTTGGAACCAGTCTATGGTTCCATGTCCAGTTCTAACTGTTGCTTCCTGACCTGCATATAGGTTTCTCAAGAGGCAGGTCAGGTGGTCTGGTATTCCCATCTCTTTCAGAATTTTCCACAGTTTACTGTGATCCACACAGTCAAAGGTTTGGCACAGTCAATAAAGCAGAAATATGTGTTTTCCTGGAACTCTCTTGCTTTTTTGATGATACAGCAGATGTTGGCAATTTGATCTCTGGTTCCTCTGCCTTTTCTAAAACCAGCTTGAACATCTGGAAGTTCACGGTTCACATATTGCTGAAGCCTGGCTTAGAGAATTTTGAGCATTACTTTACTATTAAGAGCTATCAAATGGTGATTTTAAAAAATCCAGTCATGTCTTCTAGATTTATCAGTTGACAGGTACTGGTTGTCAAGTTTTTCCTTCTCTGTGTTTGTTTACTCATTCACATATGTTGGTCTGGGCTCATCGGGTCCTGTTGCAGTCTTTATTCTGGTTGTTTTTTTGATGCTCAAATTGTGCCCCACTTGGCCAATGAGAACTTGATCAAGCCCGTTTCTTTGGCCTCTGACAGGTCCCTCTATTCTCTGAATGTTTGCTTACTTTCTATCGAGAAGATGTTTCAGGCTTATCTTGTATTTTCTGTGCACCAGTCCTGGAGTCAGTCATTGCTTCAGGGAGCCTGAGTTTCTTTCAGTGGAGAGATCGAGGTCTAGGTGTCAGTTATGGGGTGGAAGGGCAAATGTCATTGTTTGTAGGCTTTCTCAGCAGGTGCTGAAGGCAACCGCGAGTCAGCGTGTGTGCACACACATGGGCACACTCTCCCCCACGGCGCCCCATGGTGTTCTCTGTCTTTATGTCTTCCCTATATGTAAATATATGTCTGTGTATTCATACCAGGACTTACTAGAACTGTTTTCTAGATTTCTGTATCTGTAGCTCATTTGAATTCTTATTACTAAAACCAAAGTGATTCTGAAATAGTTAAAATAATATATATTATATGTCAAAATAAATTAATAGAGATTGATTATTGTAACTGCTGTGGAATTGGAGGCAGATACATTTTTTTTTTGTAATTGTAGAGAAACAGATATAAAATATAGGAAACTTAAGGCCCATTTTGAATTGAAGCCTTGTTTCCAGTTCATTTTGGTCAGTATTTTTTCTGTGCAACTCAGAAAGTGAAAAGTAATTACCTTTTTCTGCTTATTTTTTACAGGAAGCGAGATTATGAAGGCTATTTATGTTCGCTGTTACTCCCTGCCGAATCCAGAAGCTCTGCTTTTGCACTGAGAGCCTTCAATGTGGAACTGGCTCAGGCTGGTATTAAAATACCTTATAAATTATTTGCAAAAATTGTGATATAACATTTTTAATGCTGAATAATAAAGAACCATATTTGTAACTTATATGTTAGACATGCTTAAGGTCTCTGCTGGGGACTTCTTTCTCCTGCTTAACAATTCAATTCCAAAAATAAAGCTAGCGAATGAACTTAATGTTTCTGGAAAGACCAGTCTGGAATTTCCTTTTCTAAGGATATTTTAAACTATGTAATTAACATTGTCTATTAATTGAATAGGTTAATCGGAGTATTACTGCTTATTCTCTACAATATTTGCATAATTTGCATGTATATAGCAGTTCTTCAGAGCACTTTTTGAAATGAGTTTTAACGTTAAAGTTTTTAACTTTAAAGGAAATTGAAGTAATTATAGCAAACCCAAATCTTATATCATACTAACTCTTGTCTAAAGAATAACGAAGCAAGTAGAGAGTCTTCCCTTTGTTATAATGGAAAGAATGTGTGCTGAGGTACAAGATAAATTGAAATGGAGAGGGTCATTGAGGGAGTTGAGATAGAATGGCCTTAATTTTCTCCGTAAATTAAATGGAGAGATCAGTTATTGAGAGTGAGGGAGCGTGGGAGGGTTGGGGGTCTTGAAGAGCATGGCAGGTTTTGAAGCAGCTTCTCTGGTGAATGTGATAGGAGGTGAGCTAGGAACGAATAAAAGGATGTGAGTGTAGCACCGAGGCATGGCGAAGCTTAGACTTGATGAATCTGCAGAGTAATTGAGCCCGGCTGTTTGTCCTCAGTGTATTTCTAGAAGTCATGGTTCTGTATTTTTTTCACTTTATCCTTTTTCAGGTGTAAACTACACTTAACCATCTTAAGTCAGTCACCACAGTTTAAAAATAAATAATCTCCATTGTGGTCTTCCATTATTAACTTTAAAATAATAAAAAATTCCATTTTTAATAGATAAATCCTCCATATTCTCCCTAATTCTTTGTCATCTTATAAGAGTGTCTTGCTGCTTTTTCTAAAAAATTTCATTGAATTCAATTAGGCAGGCATTTTCGCTCCTGCCTGCCACTCCAGGCTGTGTGGCCCTGATTGCCCCTTGACCCCATGGCCCCTTCACAAGACTTCCGTCTCCCAGCAGCTGTCTGTCTTACTGTTGTTTTTGCACACACATCTTGTTCGTTCATTCTTCATTCAACAGGTATTGTCCAAAATATGCTAGGCACTATTTTAAGTACTGGGTCATACCGCACTGAGTAAAGCACGCAAACCCTTGCACTCGGGGAGCAAATAGATTCTGTATAGAAGAGTCAAGGGGGTTAGGGAAGGTTTGGTGTAAGAAGATACCTCACTGAGAATGTGGCCTTGGAGCAAAGATTTGGAAGCAGCAAAGAAGTGTAAAATACGTGGCTACACAGCATTCCAGACAAACGGAGCAGCAGATACAAAGGTCCTGAGATATGCGTGCCTGACATAATCAAAGAAAAGACGGCCAGTGTGACACAGCGGAGAGGGAGGGATGGTGTGGGAGATGAGGTTAGAGGCATCTGGGCCAGAAAGGTAAGGTCTTGGAGACCACTACAATCACTTTGGCATTTACTCTGAGTGAGATGGAAAACCATTGGAGGATTCTGAGCAAAGAGACCATCTCTTGGTCATGTTTTAAAAGGATTACCCTTTAAAATTTTTTTTTAGTAAAATACAGTTGGTTTATAATATATTAGTTTCAAGTGTTCAACATAGTGATTTGATATTTTTATAGGTCATATTCCATTTAACATTATTATAAAGTATTGGTTATATTCCTTGTGCTGTATAGTATATCCTTGTATCTTGCTTATTTTATACATCCTAGTTTGTATTTCTTACTCCCCTATCGCTGTCTTGCCCCTCCCCTCATCCCTCTCCCCACTAGTAGCCACTACTTTGTTCTCTGTATATGTTTCTCTTCTTTTCTTGTTGTTATGTTTATTCATTTGTGTTAACTTTTAGATTCTACATGTAAGTGATAACATACAGTATTTGCCTTTCTCTAATTATTTCACTAAGCATCATATCCTATGGGCCTTTCTTGTTGCAAATGGCAAAATTTTATTCTTTTTTTATGGCTGAGTAATATTTCATCATGTGTGTGTGTGTGTGTGTGTGTGTATGTATGTAAACCGTATCTTCTCTGTCCACTTATCTGTTGATCGTCACTTAGGTTGTTTCCACATCTTGACTATTGTAAATGATGCTGCTATGAACACTGGGGTGCATATATCTTTTCAAATTAGTGGTTTTGATTTATTTGGATTTATTATATTGGTGCAAAAGTAATTGCAGTTTTGCATTGTTGAACTTTGTTCTTTGATACTAGAATACATTCTTAAGTGTGGTATGTTATACATCATTTTAATGCACATTTATCACTTTTTTTTTGTGCTCATTATTACTTGCTATTTATTTTATATTTATTTCAGACTAGGGAAATGATGTTAGACAAAAAGCAAATTTGAGCAGTTTTCTTATTCGAGTTCAAAATGGGTCGTAAAGCAGCAGAGACAATTTGCAACATCAGCAATGCATTTGCCCCGAACTGATAACATACAGTGTAGTGGTGGTTCAAGAAGCTTTGTAGAGGAGACAGGAACCTTGAAGATGAGGAGCACGGTGTCAACTTCTTCAGCCAACAGAAGTTGCCAACTGCCAACTGAGAGGATCATCAAAGCTGATCCTCTTAAAACTATAGGAGAAACTGCTGAAGAATTCAACATCAACTGTTCTATGGTTGTTTGGCATTTGAAGCAAACTGGAAAGGTGAAAATGTTTAATAAGTGGGTGCCACATGAGCTGACTTCAAATCCAAAAATTGTCTTTTTGAAGTTTCCTCTTTTTCTGTACAACAGACCTTTTCTTGATTTTATTGTGACCTGAGATAAAAAGTGGATTTTGTATAATAGCTGGTGACACCCGGCTCAGGGGTTGCACCATCTCAGTGCACTGGGACTGTCTTGTCTCCACATTCATGCCAATATTTCTTAATTTGTGGTCTTTTTGATGATAACCATTCTGACAGATGTGAGGTGATATCTCCCTGGTGCTCAGGGATGTTTCAGCACCTTTTCATGGACCTCTTGGCCGTCTGTATCTCTTCTTTGGTAAAGTGTCTATTTAGGTCTTTTGTTTGTTCTTTGATATCGAGTTGTATGAACTGCTTTTGAATTTTGGATATTAACCCCTCAAAGGATTATTATTTGCAAATGTTTTCTCCCATTCAGTAGGTAGTGCAAATGTAATTATTGATAGGTGTGTACTTACTGGACTTACTTCCATTTTATTACTTTTTTGCCAGTTGTTTTTGCAGTTCTTCTCTGTTCATTTCTTCTTCATTTATTTCTTCCGTTGTGGTCATATGATCTTCTTTTGTACTGTGCTTGTGTTGCTTTCTTAACTGGTTTTTGTGTATCTGTTGTAGGTTTTTCATTTGTGGTTACCATGGGGTTGTGTATGTTGACCAGTGATTATATCTACTTGACTTAAACTGATAGTCTTTTAAGTTCAAACACATTCTAAAAGATCTACATATTTACTTCCATCCCTCATATTTTTATGTTTTTGTTGTCACACTTTTCATCTTCATGGCTGTCTCTTTATTGTTTATTGTAGTTACGGTTGCTTTTATAATTTTTTTTTAAATCTTCATATTAGCTCATTTAAAATGATTGATCCACAGCCTTTACTGTAAGATTTTTCTTTACTAGTGGGATTTTTTTCCCTCTATGAATTCTTGCTTCTTACAATCTTGTTTTCCACCTGAAAAAGACCCTTTAATACTTCTTGTAAGGTTGCTTTAGTACTGGTAAACTTAGTTTTTGCTTGTCTGAGAAGTTCTTTATCTTCTTCAGTTTTGAAAGATAACATTTCTGGGTAGAGTATCCTAGGTTGTAGGTTTTTTCCTTTCAGCTGTTTAAATATATCATGCCACTCCCTTCTGGCTTTCATAGTTTCTGCAGAAAATATCAGCTGATAGATAGCCTTACAGGGATTCCCTTGTGTTTGACTCTGTTTTTCTCTTGCTGCCTGTGATTTCTCTTTAACTTTTGCCATTTTAATTACGATGTGTTTTGGTGTGGGTCTCACTGGGTTCATCTTGTTTGGGACTCTTTGTGCTTCCTGTAGAAATCTGTTTCCTTCTTCAACTTCAAGAAGTTTTCAGCCATAATTTTATCAAATGCATTTTCTACTGTTTTCTCACTCTCTTCTGGGATCCTTATAAACTGAATTCTAATACACTTGATGTTGTCTCAGAGGTCCCTTAAATTATGCTCATTTTTAAAAATTTGTTTTTCTTTTTGCTATTATGATGGGTAATTTCCATTTCCCCCCCCCAGGTCACTTATGTATTCTTATCTATCAGCTAGTCTGCTATTCATGCCTTCTAGTGCACTTTTCATTAATGGTATTCTTCAGCTCTGACTGGTTCTTTTTAATAGTTTCTGGTTCCTTGTTTAAATTCTTAGTGTGTTCATGGACTCTTTGCAAACTTAGTTAGCATTCTTTTTACTATTACTGTGAAACTGTATGGGGTAAATTATTTATCTCTGTATCACCAGGGGTTTTTCTCAGTTTTTTTCCCTTATTCTTTCACTTGAAACATATTCCTTTGTGTTTTCATTTTGTATAACTTTGTCTGCATGAAATTAGGTGAAATGGTTACCTGTCCCAATCTTGAAGGAGTATCCTTTGTGGGGCTGTCCCTATGCAGTCTGTGTGTGCCCAATTATTTTGGTGGGAGAGCTGGATCTGAAGTGAGTGTAGGTCACATTTTCTCTTGGGGTGTGCTGGCAGCTACCACTGTGGTGGGAGGTAGGGCTAAAGATGAAGGGGCTTAGCCAAGCCAGCTGTGAGCTGGGGCTTTTCCTGGGCTGCTCCTTTGGCGGTCACGGGTGCGATCAGAGCTCCGGGTCCTAGACACAAGCTCTAAGGATTGGTCTGAGCTGGCTCCCCTCCCTCTAAGTGTGTGTACTGCTCTCCTAGTGGAGAGCCGGAGGGCCTGGAGCAGGCAGCTGGGTGGGCTGGGGTGCATGCTGGAACAGTCCTGGAAGCCAAACAGAGCCCGGGCAGTTTTCAGCCTGCAGCATGGTGTGCGTGCTGGCTCGGGTCCAGGCTGTCTTCCTTTTCTCTCAGTGATAGCCTTTGCCTTAGTGGAGGGCAGAGCTGGATAAGGGGCTGGAGCAGGCAGCTGGTCAGAGCTCAGGCACTGTTCTGTCTGCAGCCTTGATGCAAATCCTGGGAGTAAATAAGCTTGTGCAGAGTCTTGGTTTCTTGCAGCCGTCCAGTAAGTCCCACTGGTTTTCACACCAACTGAGGGTAGTTGTCTCCCCAGGGCGGGTCCCTGAGCCTGTGTGTGACACTCCTCTCCTCTCCTGTGTCCCCTGCTCAGGACGCAGGTCCCAGCCTCACCGGTTTCCTCCCTCCCTGCCCAACTCCGTGTGCAGTTTTCTTTAGAGCCTTGGTTGCAGAAGAGCCTCTTTTTTTTTCTTTCCACCAGTTTCCAGGTTGTTTTCAGCAATGTAGATGTACTTTTGATGTGTTCATTGGGGGAAAAGTGAGCTCAGTGTCCTCCTGAAATGATTAGTGTTTTAAAAAAGTTTTTTTAACTTATTTTTTCTTTTCAATTATGTTTTTTATAGGGTATTGAGTATGGTTCCCTGTGCTGGATGTGTTGTCTATCCATCCTATATATGATAGTTTGCATCTGCTAGTCCCAATTTCCCAATCGATCCTTCCCCCTTGGCGACCACAGGTCTCTTCTCTATGTGCGTCTATTTCAGTTTTCTAGATAAGTTTATTTGTATCGTATTTTAGATTCCACAAATAAGTGGCATCACATGGTATTTTCTTTGTTTTTCTGACTTACTTCACTTAATCTGATAATCTCTAGGTTTATCCATGCTGCTGCATATGTCAATATTTCGTTCTTTTTTATGGCTAACATTTCACTGTATATATGTGCCCACATCTTTAAAGGATTACTCTTGATGCTATATTTAGAATAGATCATATGCCATGGGATCTGAACACTGAAAGAGACCCACCCAGCACTAAGACCATTAAAATTTTTTTTTTATTTGGAAATACTTTCATGTGCACAAGAGTAAGAATAGTACAAGGAATACCAGTATGCCCTTCTGTTAATATTTGGCCCCATTTGATTTATCAAGTTGTTCCCCTTCTCTCTCTTCCTTCGTCTCTCCCTCTCTTTTTCTCTCTCTCTGTATACACGCACATATACATGCACACACATTCGTGCACTGTTTTTCTTTTTATGAATCATTTTACTATAACTTACTAAACCATGGCCCTTTACTCATAAACTTGAGCTGTATTTCATTAGCACAAGAATATTCTCTTTCATAACAGTTACCAGTTTGAGTAAATTTGAGACAGATACACTAGTTTTATTTAATCTACCTTCTGGTTTCCAGTTCTGTCAAACGACTGAATGATGTTTTTATGGCATCTTTAAACCCTTTTGTACAGGATCCAAACTAAGATGGTATATTACATTTAGCTTTCATATCTCTTTTGCCTCCTTTTATCTGGAGCATTTCCACAGCTTTTCTTTGTCTTCTATTAAACATTGACATTAAAAAAACCATATTGTTCCTTTTAAAATTTTGACTATTTCTCATTTGGAGTTTATTTTTTGTCACAATTAAACATTTCTAGTTATACTTAACTGTCTCAATGGTGTATGTCCTTCTCAGGGAATCACAACGAGGCATGACACGCCTGTATGCCTCTTACTGGTGATACCAATTTTGGTCACTGGTCAAGATGTTAATATTTTTTTCCTGTAGAATGTGAGGAGACATTTTAAGACTGTGGTCCTCATCAAAAGTTACCTCATATATGGCAAATAGGTACATGAAAATGTGCTCAGCATCACTTTGAGAGAAGTGCAAATCAGAAATAACAAATGTTGAGGATGTGGAAGAAAGGGAACCCTCGTGCACTGTTGGTGGGAATGTAAGTTGCTGCAGACGCTGTGAACGATGGTATGAGATTCCTCAAAAGATTAGAACTACCACAAAATCTAGTCATTTCTGGGTATTTAGCCAAAGGAAATGAAAACACTAACTTGGAAAAATAGTTGCACCTCCTTGTTCATCACAGCATTATTTACAATAGCCAAGACATGGAAGCAGCCTAAGTGTCCATTCGTGGATGACTGGATAAAGGTGTGGTCTATCGGGACCTCCCTGGTGTACAGTGGATAAGAATCTGCTGCCGGTGCGGGGGACACAGGTTCCCCTGGCCCAGGCAGATTCCACATGCCATAGGCAACTGAAGCCTGTGCACCATGGCTGTTGAGCCCACAAGCTGCAGCTCCTGAAGCCTGAGCGCTCTAGAGCCTGCCCACGGCCACCCGAGGCCACTTGCTGTGTCCACTGAAACCCGTGCACCCTGGAGCCTGTGCTCCGCCACGGAAGCCACCGCAGTGAGAAGCCTGTGCACCGCACCAGAGTCAGCCTGGCTCACGCAACTCGGGCACGCCTGGGGGAAGCAGCGAAGACCCGCTGCAGCCGAAAATATAAATAAGTAAATATATTTTTAAAAAAAGATGAGGTATATCTCCCCAATGAGTTATTACTTACCATAAAGAAGAAGGAAATCTTGGCATTTGTAACACAGGCAGACCTTAAGGGCTTCATGCTACGTGAAATGAGTTTGACAAAGACAAATACCATATGATCTCACTTACATGTGGAATCTAAAGCAAAAGCAAAACAAACAATTCCCAAGCTCATAGGTAAAGAGAACAGATTGGTGGTCTCCAGAGGCAGGGGTAGGAGATGGGTGAAATGAGTGATGGTGGTTAAAAGGTAGAAACTTGCCATAGTAAGTAAGTAAATAAGGCATGAGCATGAAATGCACAGCTAGTACTGTTACTATGCATTTGAAAGTTGCTAATAGAGCAGATCTTAAAAGGTCTCGACATACACAGATTTCTAATTTTGTGTGGTGATAGTAGATATTAATGACACCTATGGTGATCTTTCACAATATATAGGTAGGTAGGTAGGTTTAGTCGCCCAGTCATGTCCGACTCTTTGCGACCCCATGGACTGTAGCCCACCACTCTCATATCAGATCATATTGTATACTTAAAACTATGAAACTGTTATGTGTCAATTATAGCTCAGTTAGAAATAAAAAATTTTCCTCCTAGATTTAGCATGCATTGATGATTCTTACCAGAACTTAATAAGGCCATTCTTAATCAGTAGTATGTTAGGGAAAGAATCTAACAGTCTTCTTTTAGAGTGAGTTAGTGAATAAACAAATGAGTTTTTTTAAATGTACCACAGTAAAATTTGCTTTTTGTGGTGTATAGACCTATAGGTTTTGAAAACTGCTTAAAGTCCATCAGAGTTGTGATACAGAACAATTCCATCAACCTGAAAGATTCCCGGATGTGTCCCTTTGGAGTTAGCCCCTACCCTCGCCACAGTCTTCTCCATGTACCTGAGATAAGCTTCTACCTTTTTGAGGCACATTTTCTGTACTTGTAGAATGAATGTGTTGGTAAGGACCTTGTGAGCTTGTTCTGATGATTGTGATCAGGTAACATCTGGTATAGTACTTGCACAGGGCCTGGAACTTGTAGACGTTTGATAAATAATATTTCCTTCTCTGCTTCCTCTAAAAAGCTTCTCGTTCTATTTCCTAGGTTTATCTTCAGACTTAAAAAATATTTGTGCTATCGCTAACCAAGTGAGGATTGTTTTTCTTCGCTTCCATTTATTTTTTAAAACTTCATTGGAAAATTTCAATCATGTCTAGAATGAAGTATATCCATATACAGAGAGAGAAATATAATGAACCCTCATGTACCCCATCACCCACCTGCAGCTGTTACTTACTCATGGCCAATCTTGTTTTTCATCTTTACTCCTCAGCCACATCATCCCCACCTCCAGGTTATTTTGAAGTTAAGTTTCAGATGAATTTTTCCATCTGCAGATATTTCAATTTGCATCTCTAAAAGAATTAACTTAAAAAAAATAACACTATTATTATACATTAAAAATTTAAAAATAATTCCTTAATATCATTAAACATTTGGTGTTCAGATTTTCCTAGTTGTGTCTCTCTTTAAATCCGGATTCAAATAGGTCTATATGTGACTGGTTGATATTTCTTAAATTTCTTTTAAACAAAATGTTCCCCCTCCTTTGTTTTTCCTTATAACTTTTTTAGAAGAATTGCTCGTATTTTTGAATGCAGACCTTGAGAATATTTTTGAATAATCACCAAGTAATCTGTAGCTTTTACTTAGGTAACTCATAATGGTGGCAATTTAACTGATATATAACTTCAAGGAAAAATTAAATGCAGAGAAGACTGAATTATATGATTTTGCAGTTATAAATAGTGATTTCTGAGACTCTGAGTAGTGCAGTTGTTAATGTTTTTAAACCCTGTTTATAGATTAAGGACTCTGTCTCTGAGAAAACAATTGGACTGATGCGAATGCAGTTTTGGAAGAAAACTGTGGATGATATATACGGTGACAATCCACCACATCAGCCTGTGGCCATTGAACTATGGAAGGTAAAACAAAAACAGCTACTTTTCATTTGTATGAATGTTATTTAAGCATACTTTTTGTTACATACAAGTTGGATAGTGGCAATGGGGAGTCTGTCCTGAAAATATTCTTGGGCTCATGTAACGTTCAGATATAAGTTAGTTTTGACAGAATTTAAAATCATTAACAAATAATTTGCACACATCTTTAGTGTGTTTATTAAAAGAAGAAAGAGTAATTTGGTCTGTTTATGTTATAAATTATTTTCCACATGTTTGGTTGCAGAATTTAAACCCTACACATTTTGAAACAATGACAGGTAAATTTTCTATTCTGTCTGCCAAGTAGCTCCTTATTCCAGTGCTTTAGTTCATACTCTGGACTGTAGAAAATGATGATGCATTGATCTTTTGTGCTCTTATCATTCCTAAAGCTGCCTTGTCTGGTTTCATAGAATTGCCTCTTTGTTGATGAAGTTTAGGTATCTGAGAATGGAAGCCTATGGGCGAGGTTGTTATTTGTACACTGAGATGTATTTAGTAGTTAGTTTTACGTTAAAGCTGTATGGATTCCTCATTCACAACTAGCCTTAACGCAGTTTAGAAATACGTTGAACTAGGAGCAGAGGACGGGGTTTAGGCTCCTTCCGTCGTTGATCTGTGTCCGCATTGTTGTATTGTGAGTGCCAGAAGACAGTGTCTGTCCCTGGAGCCTCTGACAGACCTGACTGGTACACCCGTTCTCAGGTCTGTGCCCCAGCAGAGGCAGGCCCTGTTTCTGGGCCCCAGATTGACTTCACAGAACCTCAGTAATTGGAGAGCCAGGCCCCTCCACCAGGGAGGAAAAGTGGATGGGAAGCTCTTGAGTATCCGATTAGTTGTTTCCCTTTATTCATCCCACTTCAAGAACCTCATCCTGGCTGACTCAGTTTAGAGGAAAGTTTCTCCAAAGTCCAGAAACTGCTTATTTTATATGCAAACCTGGCTTGGGTTAGAAGTTTATGCTAAGACTTGTATTGAAAATTCTGGCCTTTGTCAGGAAATAAGTTGAAAGATCAGAGATTTATTTAACATAAATTTATCTTGTCTTGGCCTCACTTAAATGCCAGAAGACATATCTGAATTACAGAATGTTTTACATGTATGCCAGTTTGTCCAGTTTTAAAAGCTGCTTATATTTTGGAGATTAATGTTGGCCAGCTCTCTGATATGACAGGTATTGCAGATGAACGTGAACATTTGAAAGAAGCAGGTAGTGTTCAGAGCGGTTGTCCTGATGGCGTGTTTTTTGCTTCTCCGTGTTCTGCTGGAGCACACGCTTGTTGCACCACTGTCCCGTCAAACTTTCCATTGATTGCTTAAAGAGTTTCGGGTTCTGTAGAAGGTTAAGTTGGGGAACAGAAGGTCCATTCCTGCCGCACTGTTTCATTGCTGCTTTTAGAGCACGGAAGAGATGAATTCCTATAATTTCTAATAACTATAGCCACGATTTTTATTCCATTTGGCTCCTATTTCTAAAGTTTTGATACCTTTATTCAACAGGTTTTTAGCTTCTTATAAGTATGTGTTTTTTTATCTGGATCTCTGATTTCCTTCAGAATCAGACAGAACTCTGTTTTGTGGTCAAGGAACTGCAGCTGTTACAGCATCAGTCGAGTAAATAGGAGTCTTGACTTTTCAGTGGTTTAGTATCTACTGAGTACTTTCATGTGCCAGGAATGGTGCTTGATGGTGTGGTTACAAAGATCAGACAAGCCCTGCCCTACTCAGACATGTACAGAACAAAAGGAGAGCAAGACTGAGGTGACTGAGGTATCCCAGGCTGGCTCTTGGAACTGGGGACAGAGGCTGTGGGAGTGCTGCTGGGTAACTGTAGCAGTGCTGAGAGCACTTCCAAAGCAACTCTTTGCAGCCCTCACAGCTGCTGCTGCGTGCCTGTCGGGCAAAGTGGGCTCCGTTCTGCCCACTTCCATCCTTTGCCGCATGGATGTGTATTGATGGGCCTGCCAGCCTTTACATTAATATCAGTGACATCTTAGAGTCTCAGTTGAAGTGTAGGATATCCCGGAGACTTTATGTTTCACTACTCTATTTCTCGTGAAAATGTATTATACTTGGTGTTGACTTGGCAAACAAGCAGTGTTTAAAAACTTATTTGGAAATAACTTCAAAATTTCAGAAAGGTTACAAAATTAAAAATACTGTAAGAACACTTCTGGGTCGTTTACCCAGATTTACCTGTTGTTAACATTTTATCCTATTTGTTAATTATTTGTATGTGCTCACTCACGAGTGTGTGCTGGCATGATCTCTATATATTTTCACACTCATAATTTTTTTAAATTATTTGAGTATAAGTTGCTTACATTATGTCTCTTTATCCCTCAATACTTTAGTATTTCCTAAGAATAGAGACATTGTCTTATTTAACCAGAATAGTTATTGACTTTAGTAAATTTAACTTTGAAATAACTTTCATCTGATTTTCCATTCATATTCCAATTTTGTCAGTTGACCTAATAATATAAATTAATGTATTTTTCCCCTCCAGTGTAGGATCCAGTCAGGTATTTTCTGTCATATCTCCTTAGCTTACTTTAAGCTGGAACGTTTCCATAGCTTTTCTTTGCCTTCTGTGACACTGACATTTTTGAAGTGTGTGACCTCTCTCTGTTTTGTAGTAGAACATTGCTCATTTTACATTTGTCTAATGTTTCCTCCTGCTCAGATGGTTCAGGCTGTGCGCTCTTGGCCAGAATACTGCATCGGTGATGTGTTCTCGGACTGTCACATCTGAAGACACGCTCTGTCCATCTGTCCTTTATTGGCATTGTTCATTTTCGTTAGCATTCAAGATGTTGCCCGGTTTTCCCAATGTGTGACTACTGTATAATTAGAATTTCCCTTGCAACTAATCAACTTTAAGACAATGCAAATATCCTGTTCCTCATCAGTTTCCTGTGAAACGTAACATGTGCTGATGGTTCTTATCCAGTCTTTACTATTATGATTACAGAATGATAATGTCCCAATTCTAATGCTCTGTTCACATTTACCACTTGGCACGCTACTGTGAGCAAGTGCTCTCACTCTCCTACATTATTTATTTGTTTATTAATTATTGGTATAAACTCCTGAGTTTCTTTTTTTTTTTTCAGTACTTTATAACTCATTGCTTGTATGCATGCTCATTCGCTTAGTTGTGTCCAACTCGTTGAGACCCTATGGATTGTGGCCCACCAAGTTCCTCTGTCTGTAGAATTTCCCAGGCAAGAATATTGGAGTGGGTTGCCATTTCCTCTTCCAGGGGATCTTCCCAACCCAGGGAATGAACCCACGTCTGTTATGTCTCCTACATTGGCAGGCAGATTATACCTCATTACTGTACTTAATTATTTGGTATTCAAATAGTCCCATATTTAGACAACGAGAGTCCCTTCAAACTGGCTCCTGTGTCCTAACATGCCTCCTATCTTTTTTTTTTTTTGCACTTTCTATTTTCTGGCACAATAAAATGGTTTAGGATCCTCTTGAATCTCCCTTGTTCCAGCTCTGGAATCCCCTTTTTTAGAGTCTGTTTCCTTTGATGGAAATGGTATTAGAGCACTAAGTGTGCTCTTTCTTAATGGAGTGTCTTTACTTGTAAGATAACATTGTACCCTGCAGATTGTTTCTTTGGAGCTTTGTTACCCTTTTCTTTTTTATAAAGTGGTTATTTTCATTAAATAGGGTCTTCATTTTATGGGGGAAAAAATTGTAATAAGCATAGAAGTTGAGGCATATCACGTAGAGAAGCTTGCTCTGCTTAATTCTTGTTTTTTTGTTTGTTTTGAAAGTGGATTCACTGATTACTAATAGTATAAGGAAAAGATTAGTGAAGAGGTTTTGGATATATTATCTTTACTTGGAAATGTTTTGAAATGTTTTCTAGAGACATTTTCTTTTTCCCTAGGTTTTTAACATAGATGTCGGGTGATGAGTTATTACAAATGTCCCCTGTCCTGGTTTTGTATTTGGTTTGTTTATGTTATTCAGGTCTACAGAAGTCATTTGTGGTACTTTCTAAAAACTTAAAACTTTTTTTTTTTAGGCTGTCCGAAGACATAATCTGACTAAAAGATGGCTTATGAAAATCATTGATGAAAGAGTAAGTTGCAATTGCTCATGTCTTGTTTTTTTCTACTCCTTTAACCCTTAGGCTACTTCTTCAGGGAAGAAATGTTTTAATATGTATATTATTTTGGAGGAAGGAGACTTTTAGAGAACTGTGCCATTTCATCTGTTCTCCGTCACTGCATGCCACCTACCTCAGGCTCCTATCCCGGTACCTGGAGACAGACAGGCAAACGGGCCTCCAGGTGGAGGCATGCATGGGCATATCATACTCTACTATTTTGGTGTTTTTTAAATAATAGAAAATTTTCAGACTTATATAAAAGTAGAGAGAATAGTGTAATATACTTTCACGTATCTGTCACCCAGCTTTAATAGTTATAAACCCGTGTCCAATGTTATTTATTTTCTACCAACTTCCCTCACTAAACCCTATTAGCTTATTTTAAAGTAAACCCAAGAAATGTTATCATTTGATCTGTAAATATACATGTAACTTGAAAAGATAAAAACTTGTATAAAGCAGATAATCAACAAGAACCTATTGTATAGCACAGGAAACTCGGTGTTCTGTAATAACCTGAATGGGAAAAAAATCTGAAGAATAGATGTAAGTATATGTATGACTGAATCACTTTGCTGTGTACCTGAAACTAACACAACATTATAAATCAACTCCAATGTAAAATAAAAATTGAAAAGAAAAAACTTGTATATAATATAACTATAATGTGATAATCAGACCTTAAAAAGTATGGATAATTCCTTAATATCATCAAAATGAGAATAGTTGTACATATATCATTATATACATCCAATGCTTGAAGCGCTGTCCAAATAGAGTGAATAAAGAAAGTCTGATGGTTCTAGCAAATAGAATCTTACACTTAGAACTAAGTTCTAGTTCCAGCCAGGCTTGCAGAATGCTTGATGACTGGGACTGATCTGTGTCTTCTTTCTGACACATTGTTGGCTGAGTGTCCTTGACCTAATATTTGTCATACACTGTTGTCATGAAAATGTAAGTTTATTTAGTTTATTTGGATACAATCTGTTAATAACCATAGGCTACAGTAGTAATAATATAAGCCAAAATGAGATAATGACTTTTACATTTTAAAATTCTCAGTTGGCTTACAGAATTAATTAGTATGAAGAAAGTCTATTTTTCAGATGTCTTCTGTTTTCATGATGTAAGAAAATGTGAGAACTCAAGACAGATAATGGAAAATCTCTCTTTTTTTATGAAAAAACAAAACAATTTTTCCATTGTTTAATGGAAAATGACATTTTGCATTTGCATAGAGGGATATATAAAAGTAAAAGATTGGATCAGTATTTATGCATTGATCTATAGATTCAATGCAATCCCTGTAAAAATTCCAGTTGCTTTTTTTTTTTTTGCAGAAATTGACAAGTTGATCCTAAAATTCATATGGAAATGCAAGGGACCCAAAGTCATCAAAAGAATCTTAGAAAAGAAGAATAAAGTTGAAGGACTCTCATTTCCCAGTTTTGGGACTTGATCACAAAATTACAGTAATCAAACTGTAGTATTGGCCTTCCATAGACATATTGATTAATATATATTGATCATGTAGCTCATATATATTGGCACGGAATAGAATTGAGAGTTCAGAAGTAAACCTGTATGTTGATAGTCAACTGATTTTTGACAAGGGTGTGAAGATAATTTAGTTGGGGAAAGAACATCCTTTTAAGCAAACAGTGCTGGGACAGTTAGATATCCACATGCAAAAGAATGATTTTGGTCTCCTACCTCATTCCATATACAGAAACTAACTCAAAATGGATATAAATGTAAGTGTTAAAACTGTAAAACTGTTAGGAGGAAACATAGGCATAAATCTTTTTAAGTTTATGTTGGGCAGTGATTTCTTAGATATGATACCAAAAGCACAGGCAATAAAATTAAAAAGTAGATAATTGGACTTCATCAAAATTAAAAAGGTTCAGGAAAACAAAAAGACAATCCACAGAATGGGAGAAAATACTTAACAGTTACATATATGATAAAGGACTAGTGTCTAGAATATATAAAGAACACATAATTCAACAATTAAAAATAATCCAGTTTAGACAAGCAGAAGATTTGGATAAACCTTTCTTTTAAAAAGATACATAACTAAGTAGTAAACACCTGAGAAGATGCTCAACATCTTTTCACTCGGGAGATGAGAATCAAAGCAACAGTGAAGGGCCTTCCCTGATGGCTCAGGGGTGAAGGATCTGCCTGCCAGCGCAGGAGACACAGGTTGGATCCCTGGTCTGGGAAGAGCCCTCCTCCGGCGGAGCAGCGAGCCTCTGCGCCACGACTGCTGGGCCTGTGCTCGAGCCCACAGGCTGCAGCCACCAGGCCCACGTGTTGTCACTGCGGAAGCCCATGCGCCTAGAGCCGGGGGTCCACAACAAGGGAAGCCACCGCAGGGAGAAGCCCGCACGCTGCAACTGGAGAGCAGCCCCCACTCCCCGCAACTAGAGAAAAGCCAGCACAAACACACATAAATAAACAGAAATTTTAAAAAGCAAACCACAATGAGATACTACTTCATACCCATTGGGATGGCTCTAATAAAAAGAATGAAAATAGTTAAGTGTTGGTGAGGATATGGAGATACTGGGACCCTTCGTACAGTGCTGATGGAAATGTGAAATGGTGCAGCTGTTTGGAAAAACTGTTCGGCAGATTCTTCAGAAAGTTAAACATAGAGTTATCATAGACCTGGCAATTTCATTCCTAGGTTGATAAGAGAAATGAAAACATGTGTCCTCGCAAAACTTGTACACAAATGTTCATAGCAGCATTATTCATAATAGTCCAAAAGTGGGAACGACTCAGAGTCTATGAATGAGTGAATAAACATGATGGAATATTATCTATGTTTTCTTCACTTAAAAGGAATGAGATACTAACAGATGTGCTAACATGGGCGAACCTTGAAAATATGCTAATTGAAAGAAGCCAGATACAAAATGCCACATATCGTATCACTGTACTTTTATAAAATGTTTGCAACAGACAAATCCATGGAGACAGAAAGTGGATTAGTGGTTTGTGGCGATCAGGAGAGGGGAAAATGGGAAGTGACAGTTTCATACATACAGGATTCTTTCTGAGGTGATGAGAACATTCTGGAATTAGATATTGGTAATATTGCCCAACTTTGGAATTTACTACAACTGTGAAATTGTATACTTCAGAAGATTTTATGGTGTGTGAATTGTTTCAGGTTTTTTTCTTTTAATGTGAAAGGTCTGGAGGATATTTTTCCCCCCTGGGAAACTGGTGCCAGTTTCTCCTAGTTTTAAAACAGGAGGAAGGGGTGGAGGAATAATATTACTTTGGCCATGGAGTCTTTTTAAATGTATTATAAAAGTTGCTAGATGTGCTTTTTCTAAGATTTACGTTTTTCTGTTTCTTGAATATAGTATATTCTGGTAATCAGCCGTTACTTTATGGAATATGGTTTCTTCTGTGGGGGGATGGAGGTGCAATAATGTCTGAAATGCTTAATTAGATAGGAGCTCAGTTAAGTAATTTTCTCCATGATATCTTAGACTTTGTTATTGTTTGGTGGCTAAGTCATATCTGAATCTCTTGCAACTCCATGGTAGACCACGAGGTTCCTTTGTCCATGGGCTTTCCCAGGCAAGAATACTAGAGTGAGTTGCCATTTCCTTCCTCAAGGAATCTTCCCAGCCCAGGGATCAAACCTGTGACTTTTGCATTGGCAGGCAGGTTCTTCACCACTGAGCCGCCAGGGAAGCCCCCACCTCAGACTTCGTTGTTGTTTAGTCATCCAGTTGTGTCCGACTCTTTGCCACCCCATGGGCTACAGCACACCAGGCCTCCCTGTCCCTCGTCATCTCCCAGAGTTTGCCCAAGTTCATGTCCATTGCATCAGTGATGCCATCCAGCCATCTCATCCCCTGATGCCCTCTTCTTCTGTCCTCAGTCTTTCCCAGCATCAGGGGCTTTTCCAGTGAGTCAGCTGGAGGAGGAAATGGCAAACCACCACAGTATACTTGCTGTGAGAACCTCATGAACTGTATAAAAAGACCTTAGACTTTAGAAGCAAGTAAAAATTAAGCCAACCCCACGTCCATGGCGATTTGTGCATTGAGATTATTCCTGAGGTGGTATTTTGAGGGGTGATTTGTAAGTAGTGAACATGTAGGACTTTAATATTTTTATTTTATTTTTATCTTATTTTATTGTGTAATAAACAGTTCATACTAATAGTTTTAATTATTTAATAGTCATTTCTTTAGGGGAAAAATTGTGCATTTTAAAAATAAGTTATTAACCATTCATCAAACAAATAAAGCATTTTGTTTATAGGAAAAAAATTTGGATGACAAAGCATATCGTAATATCCAGGAACTAGAAAATTATGCTGAAAATACACAGAGTTCTCTTCTTTATCTAACACTAGAGATATTGGGTAAGTATTTTTTTTCTATTTTATACTTGTCTTTCTTAAAGAAAAGGCTTTTTTAAATTGAAGTATAGTTGATGTACATCATTATGTTAATTTCAGGTATACAGGAAAGTGATTCAGTTTATATATATATTTCAGATTCTTTTTCATTGTAGTTGTTACAAGATATTGAATATAGTTCCCGGTGCTACATCCTTGTTGTTTATTCTGTATATAATGATGAGCATCTGTCAGTCCCATGCTCCTCATTTATCCCTCCCACTCCTTTCCCCTTTGGTAACCTTAAGTTTGTTTTCTAAGTCTGTAAGTCTGTTTCTGTTTACTATCTCACGTTAGGTCCCTCCGATTGCCCTCAGGGTCTTCGGGCCCGGTCCTTACCCTAAGCAATGCCGCCGGCTCCTCCCCGTTCCGCCCCTACTTGCTGGTGGCGGATGCGGGCGTCTGGGGTACTTTTCTGCTGGGAGTTGCTTTTAGGCATGTAATCTGTGGGTTTTATTTATTTTTCCTCCCAGTTAGGTTGCCCTCCGAGATTCGAAAACTTCCCCCAGACCCGCCCGTGAGAGGGTTTCCTGGTGTTTAGAAACTTCCTCTATTATGACTCCCTTCCCGGGATGGCTCTCCGTCCCTAGCTCTTTTGTCTCTCTTTTTATCTTTTATATTTTGTCCTACCTCCTTTCGAAGACCATGGGCTGCTTTTCTGGGCGCCTGATGTCTTCTGCTAGCGGTCAAAAGTTGTTTTGTGTAGTTTGCTCAGCGTTCAAATATTCTTCTGATGAATTTGTAGGGGAGAAAGTGGTCTCCCCGTCCTATTCCTCCGCCATCTTGGCTCCTCCGTCTGTTTCTGTTTGTAAATAAGTTCATTAGTATTATTTTTTAGATTCCACATGTAAGTGGAATTATATAATATTTGTCTTTATCTGATTTACTTTACTCCGTATGATGATCTCTGGTCCATCCATGTTGCTGCAAATGGCAGTATTTCGTTCTCCTTCTGTGGCTGAGTCATATTCCGTTTTATGTATGTACCACACCTTCTTTATCTGTTCATCTGCTGATGGACATTTAGGTTGTTTGGTGTCTTGGCTGTTGTAAATAGTGTTGCTATGAATATTGGGGTGCATATGTCTTTTCAAATGAGAGTTTTCATCTTTTCTGGATATATGCCCAGGCGTAAACTTACTGGATCATATGGTAACTCTGTTGTTAGTTTTTTAAGGAACCTCCATGCTGTTAACATAACACCTTTTATACTTCACTCTTTCTTAATTTGACAGTCTAGCCAGTTTAATGTTAAAATTTTTCTTTGCACCAACTATAACGTACTAGCTTTTCTTTTTCTTTCGAGGTAGAAAGGGGATATAATATATACCTTTCTTTGGAATGGAATGCAGACTAGTGAAAATACCCAGATTCTCATAGAAGTACTTTAGCTGCCTCATGCTATAATTAATAATCTGGTAATTGCAGATGATTTTACTTTTTTATGCAACCCTTACTGTTTGGAAGACCTGTGACGTGACTCCTTTCTTCTCTGTCAATAATACTTTCCTATGTTTAAGACAAAGGTTGAAGAAATAAAACTCTGTAAGTTTTTATGAGATTTTTCTTTAAAAAAAAAACAAACCTCGAAACTATGGAGTTTAGATATTTTTGCTCCTTTGACTCTATTCTAAATTGGTGAGCGCTTATTGTCATGAGGATTGTAATGGAATTATTTGGGGCAAGGACAGTACCATCCATTTGAAGAAAGCAATATGTCTTTATGTCAGCCTAAAAGAATAATACAAGTCCTTACCCAATTTCCCAGGCCTGTTTTGCCTGCCCATTCAGTGACATGTTTGCCAACGCAGTGAAAGGAGGGAGCAAAGAGCAGAAAGTTTGTTAAGCATATACTTAAAATGAGGTCATATGGAAATTGCACTGAGGAGAAGAAATGTAAGACTTGTAGTGTTTTCCACAAGAGCTGATTAAAATTCCAACTGTGCTCTTGGTATGCTGTCGTTTGAGGAAACTTCTATTTAAAAGTTGACATTCAGAAACCTGTTACTGGTAAATGATCAGCTTGTCTTTGTGCCCAGTTTTTCTCACATAAATTCTGTTTTTCAGATATGAAACACAGGATAAACACCTTTTACGTGTTAAGGTGATTTTCCTATGCTGCTTGTATTGACTTGTTATGCATTTGAAGAGAAAAGAGCAGCCTAATTGTTAGATTTCTGAAATCATAGGCATAAAGGATCTTCATGCAGACCATGCTGCCAGTCACATTGGAAAAGCACAAGGCATTGTCACTTGCTTGAGAGCCACACCCTATCACGGTAGCAGAAGAAGGGTTTTCCTTCCCATGGATATTTGTATGCTGGTAAGGCTGTTACTTGTACTCCTAATCATTTACCTTAAGAATATGGGGAGGGACATTTTCTTCTTGGTTCTTTAGTCTGTAACTTCTTTGAAATGCATGCTTATTGCATTTTTGCTCTAGAGTTATCAAGTCAGAGTTTTATCAGTCAGGCATTCTAGGTCGTGGTGGAGCTGTGTGTAAGAAGGTCCAGAGAACCTCACTTGGTGTAGCTTCACTCCCTTCCCAGCAATTACATAACTAGTCCTAGTGTTCACCTTAGCCTGTTCTTTTAAAGGAGGAAGTAATCCTTAGGAAAGAGTACTGTTTATGAGGACCTTTGTTTTCTGGATGAGGTTCATTATTCTGTTCTTTTAAATTTCTTAATCTGTTAGTTTATTTTGTTCCAGATACAGCTGTTTACTTAGCATCTTGTTGCATATTCTCCTAGGAGAGACAGTGTGTTTGTGTGTGACACGTACATATAGCTATATTTTAAAAGCCAAAAGAGGCATTTTACTGTACACATTGTTATAACACCTGTTGTCTTGAGCTGAGTTAGTTTTAAGTGTGCTTTTTGATTCCTAACATAATGCGCGTTTTCCTATGTAGCATGGTGTTTCACAAGAGGATTTTCTACAGAAGAGTCAAGATAGAAACGTGAGAGATGTGGTATATGACGTTGCCAGCCAGGCACACCTGCACCTAAAGCACGTAAGTAGCCTCCTTTGGCGGAATCATTGAAGAAACCATCATTTGTAGCCGTGGCTACTCTGAGGTGTGGTTGTAGCACTTTTTAAGTTTAACAGTGCATGTCCATCGCTCACTGAAATCCCAGCAGATGTATCTCGGGGACCGCTGCAAACTTTTCCCACTTTTAGAGATCCCCCTGTCTCCTCCTCAGCTTCCTCAGTGAGGCTCCTCTGGGGCCCACCCGCTCACTGTTACTCTGTCTCTCTGGGGAGAGTGCCTTCCTGCCTGGTCAAGGCTGACGCCTCTCCTCTTCCGCCCTTCCAGGACTCCATCCTCAGCAGTTCCCAGCTGGTGTTTTCAGCTGGCCTCTCCGACACCGTGCCCCGTTCATCGTCTGCTTTGTTGCTACTGCTTTCATCGGTGGCCCGTGAGGCCCTTCTCTTTCTTACATTTCCCTCCCAGTTAACCCTTTTTGAAGACATGTTCTACGTTTATTTTTACCTCAAGCCCTCACCACTGTGACCTTGTTCACCGGGATGTAATTTGGCTTCCATCCTGCACGCTCTAATAATCACCTCTGGTAAATCATTTCCTGCTGCCACATTTGAAAGAGTATCTGATTTATTGCATTCTTAAACCCTCTTGGTAGCTTCAGCCTGATTGCTTCCAGGATATGAGTGAATGCTACAGGAATTGCAGGGGAGTCCAAAGGGCTGCGCCTCTCCTATGGCTCAGTCTCATTTCGTACCTGCGACATCGCCTAAGAGAGATTTGTAAGAGGGAAATTGTGTCACCGAAACCATGGTGGTCTTTGAATCTTGCAGGTATACTCATTTGCAGGATACAATAAAGAGCAAATTTGTTGCAGCAAGTATTTTTGTAACTTACCTAGGTTGCTCAGTCAAAATAGTTTCTGAAATTAAAATTTCCACTTAAGTTATTAAAGCCCAGAAAGTACAAAGAAGTGATTCTCAGATTTAATACTTTGTGGTTGTTCAGTTGTTCAGTCATGTCTGACTCTGCAACCCCGTGGACTGCAGCACGCCAGGCTTCATTATCTCCTGGAAGTTGCTCAAACTCATGTCCATTGAGTCTGTGATGCCATCCAACCATCTCATCCTCTGCCATCCGCTTCTCTCCTCTTCAGTCTTTCCCAGCATCAGGGTCTTTTCCAGTGAGTCAGTTCTTTGCATCAGGTGGCCAAAGTATTGGAGTTTCAGCTTCAGCATCAGTCCTTCCAATGAGTGTTCGGGGTTGATTTCCTTTAGGATTGACTTGTTTGATCTCCTTGCAGTCCAAGGGACTCTCAAGAGCCTTCTCCAACACCACAGTTCAGAAGCATCAATTCTTTGGCTTGGTCCAGTTTTCACATTCATACATGACTACTGGAAAAACCACAGCTTTGATTATGTGGATCTTTGTTGGCAAAGTAATGTCTCTGCTTTTTAATATGCTGTCTAGGTTTAATCCTTACCATTACTTTAATATTTAGCAACTAATTCCGCCATAATAAGTCATTAAAAAATAAAGAGTTCTGATTTAGGGAGGGTGGATGTTTTATATGTATGTGTGCGAATGTGTATACATACATATATACATACAACGAGTCTCCCCGGTGGCTCAGCGGTACAGAACTCGCCTGTGGTGCAGGAGATGCGGATTCGATCCCTGGCTCAGAAATCCCCTAGAGGAGGTCACGGCAACCCGCGCTGGTGGTGCTCTCGCCTGGAAGATCCTGTGGACACAGGAGCCTGGCGGGCTGCAGTCCCTGGAGTCGCAAAGCGTCGGACACGACTGAGCGACACGTAACAGGAAGAAGCAGCTAGACTTGACAACTGGTTAGATTGTAACAGGGCCAGGGAGCAGGAGAGGCGAAGGTTTCATGAAGTTCTAATGTAGACTCTGCTGGTGCCAGTCAGAGACAGCAGCAGAAAAGCAGTGGTGTGCTGGCTGCTGATCAGTAGCCTCCTGGGCATCGCTGAAGTTAAGGGGATTCGGGGACGTTTAGGGAGGGGGGCCAAAATGCAGATTGTAGGATGAGGACTCTAAAAGGAGGTCAGAACTGGAGATACAGCCTGGGGAGTCATCCAGACGGAAGGCTTAGGGTTAAAACTCCAGGTGCGGATATGCTTTAGTCCAAAGAGAGTGTATATTTAGACAAGAAGACCAAAGGCCGAACCTTGAACCCACCTCTAGTTCTCAGGTACTCAGAGAAAGGGCCATTTATTAGGAAGGAGGAGAACTCGGAGTCAGTGTCTTGGAAACCTGAGGGAGGAGCAGATTCCAAGAACGGGAAATACTGAAGTCCTGCACTCCTCCGAGAGAATGAAAAGAGGGGTTTGCTGCTCGGTAAATTGTGAATGATCTTGAAGAGAGCAATTTTAGTGGATGGAGTAAAACAGGAGTATAGTGCGTTGAGAAGTGTGTCAGGGAGTTTAGTTTCTGTTGATGTAAACAAAGGCCTGTAGACAGAAGTGGGCTTGGGGAAGGTGGAGGGTTGGCATTACTCCAAGTGGGTGGAGGCTCTAGTCCAGGGCAGTAGGAAGCTGGGTTGGATAGGTGAGATTGGATTCAAGATGTGAAGGCCTTGAATTCTAAGATGAGTAGTTGAGACATGATATATCAGTTCAGTTAAACAATGACTTTATGACATTAATTTGGCTAATTGTGTGGCATGAATTAAAGGTTGGGGAACACAGACGCAGGAACCGTGGCTGGAGGGTCTTATATTCATCTCAATGAGAGAGGCTGACGTCCAGGCTGCGGAGGTGCTGGGACTGGTGTGCAAATACAGTTGACCCTTGCACAACCCCAGGGCTTAGGGTGCCAGCCTTCCACGCTGTTAAAAATCCACAGATAATTTACAGGTGGCCTTCTGTATCCAGGGGTCCTCTGTGTGTGGGGGGGGCAGCAGTGGTCAAAGTTGTGGCAGCTGGAAATGCCAAAACCAAATGTCAGAAAGAATAGAGTTCTTGGGACTTCCCTGGTGACTTCCAGTGACTAAAACTCCATGTTCCCAATGCACGGGGCCTGGGTTCGGTCCCTGGTCAGGGAACTGGATCCCACGTGCTGCAACTGAAGGTGCTGCATGCCACACCTAAGACCTGGCAGAGTCAAATAAAATGAATAAAAAAAATTTTTTTTTTTAAAGAAGACTGGAATTCTTAATATACTACCTTTTCCTGATATCTTTAGGTTTGGCAAGTTAATCTCAACCAGCAAGAGATAACTGTTTTCTTGTTTTCAAGAAACACCCTAGCTATGCTGTTTGAAACGGCTGGTGTTGCTTTGTGTCCACTTTCAGAGGGAGAGGGATAATTTCCAGAAATACTTGTCTTTCAAACGAGTTTCCTTTTGTCTTCCTTTTTAGGCTAGGTCCTTCCACAGAAGTGTTCCTGTGAAAGCATTTCCTGCTTTTCTTCAGACTGTAAGTAGATTAACAGAGAAAGTTGTTTAGTTAGTAAAGCAGATATGTATAGTCTTTTTTTTTTAAATAAGGTTTCCAGTGCAGTTCTTTAGTTTGTAGTATTTGTTTTTGTTTTCGTCCCTTAGGGTGGGTTTTATTAGTTAACATTCTGCTCTTGGTGAAGGTCGTGCCTGTGTTCCCCAGAAGCAGGTGAGTGGAATTGTCATAAGCACTGACTGCAGCCGGGCCGCATTGGTTTGAATCTGCTTTGTCACTTATTGTGGAACAAGTTCCTTAATCATTGCGTTCCTCAGTTTACCCATAGATAAAATGGGAATCACAGGAGAAACTGCCTCATAGGAGTATTAGGCTGCTTCTAGCCATATAAGTGTGACTTAATGGTGCACTTACTAATTTTTTTCTCAACAGTGACCATATTGTAGCAGTGGTTCCTGAAAGTGCAGTGCTGAGCTGGCTGCATCAGAATCATCTTGGAAAGCCTCTTCAAAAATACTTATTCCTGGGGTCTTCTTACTAAGACTCAGACTCTTGGGGTTGTGGGGGGTGCATTCTTAAGAGGATTTGTGTTGATTTTTATTTTTTTAATTACCCGGGTGATTCTGATGTGTAGCCAGGTTCAGGAACCATTGTTGTGTAAAATACGTTAAAAAATGAGAATAACTTCCGGTCAGTAGTACCTACTATGGGAAACAGGTTCTGAGCTAGATCATTTCATACATTATTCTTCAGTGTGGTTTCCTTCATTTTGTAGACCAAGGTTCAAAGATTTGTGATATTTGAAAATGGAAAACTCAAAGCATTTTCTACAGTACCAAACATACCTTCTACCTTTCTCCCTAAAATATGTTCAAAGATTCACTTCTGTCCCTTGACATCTTTTGTCCTAAGTCTCAGATCTGAGTGTTTGAAATCATTTCGTTTCTTTACTGAGTTTACTTATTATGAAAGTAATACATTAATATTTTAGATGTTCACATAACAAGAGGCAAAAGAAGAAATTGGAATATTTTCTCAATTCCATCCTTTCCAGAGATAATGTCTGTTCATCTTTTTGGGCTTTTTATATTCATATAATTATATATGTGTTTTTGGTATAAATGAGATGTCAAGCCTCTCTTTCTATGTCAACACATTCTAAATCACCATTTTTAATTGTTATTTATTTGATCATTTGGTGATGTACCATCACCTGTTTTGATTTATAAGCCCCAAGAAGATTAAAGACTGTTTTGTTCACATTTGTGGAAAAAAAAAATTGTTCTCAACTCTGGTTGTCTGTCAGAATCACTTGGGGGAGCTTTTAAAACAAAACAATGTTGGACTTATCTCTAAACCAACTAAATCACAGTATCTAAGAGGTGGGATCTAGGCAATGATACCACTTACAAGTTCCCCCAGAAATCATGAAGTGCATCTAGGCCAAGAACCAGTCTCTTGGGCTGGTGGCATGGTCCCTGGGCCGGCAGTATTCGCCTGGGGTCCTGTTGGAGATGCAGATTTGGGGGTCCACCGCAGACCTAATGGATCAGAGACTCCTGGGGTTGGAGCCCAGTTCTCAGTTTCCAAACTGCGAGGAGAAAGTGGCGGGACTGCATGACAGTTCCGGGGAGCTGCTGCTGTCCTGCTCCTCATTCCAGCCGGGGCACGTCTCACCCGTGTGTGGGGCATCTGTTCATTACTTTCTTCAAAGAAAAGGTTCTGCTGTTTAAAAATGACTTGAAAATGACTCGTCCGGGGTAGCATATGTTCTCTATAGACGAGGTTTTCAGAAAAGTGAAGTGCTAGTGAAAGTCGCTTAGTTGTGTCTAACCCTTTGTGACCCCATGGACTGTATGGAATTCTCCAGACTAGAATACTGGAGTGGGTAGCCTTTCCCTTCTCCAGGGGATCTTCCCAACCCAGGGATCAAACCCACGTCTCCCGCTTTGCAGGCGGATTCTTTACCATCTGAGCCACAAGGGAAGCCCAAGAATACTGGAGTGGGTAAGCCTATCCCTTCTCCAGCACATCTTTCCAACCCAGGAATCAAACTAGGGTCTCCTGCATTGCAGGCGGTTTCTTTACCAGCTGAGCTACCAGAGAAGCCCATGGTTTTCAGAAGTTATATTAAGAAATTATAAGATCTTTGAAAATTTCACAATGAATTTGTTACGTTGAACAATTTATTTGCCATTAGCCAGACTTTGCTTGGAGAAGGGAATGGCAGCCCACTCCAGTATTCTTGCCTGGAGAATCCCATGGACGGAGGTGCCTGGTGGGCTGCAGCCCATGGGGTCACAGAGTCAGACACGGCTGAGTCACTTGCTCACCCGCTCACTCAGACTTTGAACCCAGTCCTGATCTGTGAATGCTTGCCGCTGCTGTGTTGCTTCGGTCCTGTCTGACTCTGTGCAGCCCCGTAGACGGCAGCCCCCCTCAGTTGAGCTCTGAATTTTGAGGTCTGTTTCATCTGTCTTTTAATGAAATCTTCTGCTGATTATAAAAGCAGTATATTCTCATAATAGAGATTCAGACAATATAAAAAGAATATTAAAAGAAAATAGTTACCATACCATAAATAGCACAGTTCCTGGACCAAGAGACAAAAGCTATTTACTCTGTTTTTTTTTTTTTTTTTAATGAATTTCTGTGTGTCTTTAAAATCACACTTTATATGGTAGTGTCCTATTTGTCAAGCATTTAACCACATCATTAAAAATATTTTTTAATATTTAATGGCTATATAATTCTTTATTATGTGCTTGCATCTTAATTTCAGTAACTATTCCTATAATTGGATATTATAAAGCTATTAAAATGTACATAATAAAATTCTTAGAGATGAAAAGTTAATCACAATATATTGAGTGATTCAAAAAAGCAGGTTACAGTAGATTCCAGTGGTTGAGAGTCCTTCCAGTTCAGGGGGCGTGCAGTTTTGATCCCTAGTCTAGGAAGATTCAACATGCTACAGGGCAGCTAAGCCTGTCACCAGAACTAGAGAAGCCTGCATGCCACAGTAACGATCTCTCACAGCCAAAAAAGTTACAGAACATTATGAATAATATGAGCTTTTTTCCCCAAAAAACAAAGAGAACATGTGAGAGTCCACTAAAATACCTTCAGAGGTTTTTCTTTTATTCTCTTTTAAAGTGTTTTTTATTTGATATCTACAAATGAATATATCTATATAATGTATGCATGTATTGTTAAGCATAACATAATGAATACGCATGAACTCACTGCTCCATCCAGGAACTAGAATGTTGCTGTTTCATTGCGCTCATGTGCTTTCCCCATCTCATCCCCTTACTTCTGCCTTCCTCCTCCAGGTAGCTGTCCTCAACTTGGTATTTATTATTCTAAAAATGCTTTTCCTATTTTATATATTCCTAACCAGTATGTTGCTTAGTTTTGTTTTTGAGCTTTGTAAAAATGGGTCATTTTCTGTTTATTTCTTCTAGGTTACACACACACACACACACACACATAATGTTGCTGCGATTTATCCATATTATTCCATCTAAATACATTTTAATTTCACTACAGCTTAATATTTCATCATGTGAACATTTTATTTATTTGTTTCTGTCAAAGAACTTCTGGATTGTTTCCAGGTTTTTTGCAGCTGCATGCATTCATGCACATATCTGATGCGTGTATATAAGTTGAGAGTTTCAGAAGTAGAGACTGAATTTATATGTAAACTTACTCGTTGATAGTGTATGGAAGAAAATCCTGGGAGAAAGCACAGTCATGTAGACCGGCTGTGTGGGACACAAGGTTGTGCCGCAGAACTCCAGGGGGCGCTGTGCACATGGGTGAGAGGGCGATGGGACTGCTTCGCATTGTGCAGTGCCAAACTGGGAGCTTCTCTGTGTAATAAGGAAGTTACTGCAATATGATAAAAATTTACAGATTAGTAACATTGAAAACCATGAAGAGCACTGCCCATCGACAGTGTTTTCCGACCTGCCCCCGCCCCCCCAATCCCAGGGAAAACTTTGCCAAGTTTTGTGTGATGGGGGAGCATGGTGTGACCTTTAAGGGACCTGTGGTGGTTCTCCTGGTTGCAGATTTTCTTCTAACAAGAATATGGAGACTCTGAACTTTTTCACAAAATAACTGTTTTAAACAACTTGGGCTCCCGCTCATGGCACAGTGCATTTCTGTGGGGGGTGGGGTGTGTGTGTTCCCTTTTCCTTAATTGAAACACCCCTTTTGTATTCTACAGAATCTAGTAGTAAATCATTCTTTTTTTTACATTTTGACCAGAACACTATAAATTATGATCAAAATTGGCTTGATATTTCTAGTCCTAGCTCTGTGATACAGTTTTACTAGCTTCATAACTTCCAAACTTCTTAGAAGATGTCTTTATTTTCACTCTCTTAAAAATTCTCGTTTACAGTCTTAGCATGCAGAAGACCATCTCAGGAAGACTAAAGTAGCCTTAATACCTGCTGGTTTTATTTTTGTTTCTTTAAAAGACTTAATCTGTATGATCTGGTGACCGTTATTCTCTTTTTCCAGGTTGCTCTGGAGGACTATTTAAAGAAAATTCAACAAGTGGATTTTGATCTATTCCACCCATCTTTACAGCGGAAGAATACTTTGCTTCCATTATTTTTGTATATTCAGTCATGGAGAAAAAGATACTAAAATAATTTCATGGCACTGATACTTATTAGTTTTATGAAAGTGTCCTTCGTTTAGGGTTCTTGTTGACACACAACAGGAACTGCTTAAGGAGAAAATGAATTTATCGGGTGAGCGTGTAGGTCACAGAATGGATGGGAAGCTGCTGTGGGGCCCGGGGGCCAGGATTCTGCCCCAGGCCCGGCCCTTGTCGCAGCAGCGGAGACCGTCCTGGGGAGCGGAGCCCCCGGGGGGAGCCCAGTTCCCGCTGTGCTGAGGCTGCAGGCCCTGCTTCTGCCGCCAGAGGGCGGGGGATGGCTCCTCCCCTCCCTCTCTCACCGTTCAGAGGACCCGGGAACGGGCTGAAGTTAGGACTGGGTCTGTATGCTGAGCAGCCAGACCCCAGGCATCTGGTACAGCTGGGAAATGCATTTATTTAAGAATCACGAAGAGTGAAGTGAACATCAGTATTTGAGGAGTGTCAGTCGCTATTTTGAGGTCCTTTATATCTCTTAACATTTATTCTTTCCCATCCTGTGAAAATCTGTCCATGATGATAAAATGACTTCTTCAGGGTAAGGTGGCAAGCTGTCAAGAGCTCCAGTCCTAATGTGATTTTAGGTCTTGGCTGACTTGAAGGCTTTTGCTTTTTTGTTTACCTTTCTGGTTCACTCTCTGTCATCGAGCATTATCATCATGAACAAAACTCTTCTTAACAAAATGTGTGTTAATGTAAATTAAACTAACAGAATTGTGTTAAAAATTCATTAAGGGGATACTCCGTTTTTAAAGACAAGTACACTAGTTGAGCTTCCCGGTAAAAAGCTCTGTGCCATGTGCTTTGACCAGTGTTCTCGCCTGGTTTTCAAAACTATGAAACAAGGAACACTTTTGGTAATTAAAAAGTTTTAATTATAAAATACATACTCATTGCAAAAAGCAATTGTTTGCATCTCGTAGTTGGCAGATCTGGATTCTGAATGAGTCTCTAGCTCTCAGCACCAGAATTACACCCTAGTTTTCTTTTCCTGTCTTTTTAGTGGTCTTGTCTCCTGCCCACTCCCGCCTCTGTTGTACCATTTCTCTGTCCCATCTCAAGTCTTTGGTTTCAGCTATGAATAAGTGCCTGCTTCAATTGTGAATTAATGATGGCTTAAAATATTACATTTTTCGCAAATAAAACTCAACACTGAGAGCTGCTTAAGAGCAGAAATACATTGTTTTATTCTTCTTGGGATCCGCCAGTTCTTAGTATGGCTTCTGATTTAGAGCAAGTGGAGGTTAATAAATGTATAAATGAATGAGCATACAGTGCAGTTGTTTATGTTAGTGTACTTTTGGTTTATACTGATGGTGAAAGAAGCAAAACCCACAGAAATGGGACACATTTCCTGTTGGAATTCTGAATGGTCCAGAGTTGAAAAGTTCATTAAAGACGGTCTTTATTAGTAAGCATTGTCTTTGGATCTTACCAGGTTAAACTTGGCAGCAGTTGGCAACTAAGCATCTTAGTTTCTTCTAAGAAGGGTTAAAAAGAAGGGTTTAAACACTCAACTGGATTATTGGATTTTTCACTGGCTCAGAAGCCAATTTACTGTTAAGCAAATAATTTCAAAATGCTTTCTAAGTCCTTTTAAATTTGATGCTTAGAGATTTGGATGAAGTTTCCAGTCTCCTAGAGACTGAGATAGGTTATTATTCATTGATGTTTACTGTACTATTAATTTCCTGGCATTAAAGATACTCTGTTAGATGGTGCCAACATTGCTTTTTATTTTTCAGATCTGTTTTTTATTAGAGCATTTAAAGGAGTCAGATACAGTTTCAAACCATGTAAGACACATTTTGATACTGAATATGTGGAGAGCAACAGATAACAAATGTTAAGTGTTAATCTCAATGTAGGTAACGTTGCTTATCATAAAATACATTTGAGTAGTTCCCCAATCAGCTAGCATTATTTTTTCTGTCCTTTTGGTTAAATCTCTCCTTCTGATGAAAGTTAAATGTCTCCTGAGAAATAAAGCAGCAGTTGACACTTAGCACAGACTTGCACAGGTGATGTGCTCTGCGTCCCTTTGCTTTAATCTTGACAGTGAAGTTGGTCTTTATTTTCCGAAGGATAAAACTGCCTCAGTTCCAGGTCACACAGCCATTAGAACTAGAGTTGGATGCCAAACCCACATTAGTTCAATGCCAAAGCTCACAGCCCATATATTTTTTGCCATTCTTGAGATTGTAAAATAAATAGCCAAGTTTAAAGCTCAAGGGCACGACTTTTTTTTTTCTTTTTTTTTTAAGAAATAAGTATTACTGCATAAATTTTAGGTACAAATTGGGCTAAAAAGTATATCTACATATATTCTAACTACAGATTAGAGAAGTAAATAGGCAATTGAAATTGATACTGCGTGCTGGTCACTGGATGTAGACAGGAGGGACACATAACCACTTTGGAGGTCAAAGGTTTCCCGGAGGAGGGGACACGTGAGGAATTTCAGAAAGCTGGGTTAGGAGTCAGGTTTTGGGAAGGGGGTGCAGGTGGTGTGGGGAGGTCCCGGCTGAGGAAGCAGTAGGAACAAAGGCCAGAAGGCAGAACTGATACAGCCTCTAGCAAGAATCTTGAGTTTTTGGCTTCAGCTTACTTAAGTGAAAAGAATATAATGTTCAGAGTTCTTAGGAAAGTTTGTGACTAAAAACTGACTACATCTCCTAAACCAGTGAAACGTTTTGAATTAAGATCACCGACTTGGGAGTTTATTATCTTGCCTGTTGCACCAGATGCCATGGTGTCCTTGGGTTTGTTTTAGCTGCACTGGCCTGATGGATTGCCTTGTCCGGAAAGATCCACAGAGGTGTAAACATTATGCTGACAGTTACTGAAAACCAAATGTTATCCTGCTGGTTGGAGGACTAATAGTAAACCACATGCATCCAGAATTGGGAAGGGTGTTGGAGATAGACTGGAAGGAGGGGAAAGGAGGTGGGGAGTGGTTGTGAGAATACCATGAATATCTTAAACACTTCACTCTCCCTGCTTTCTTCTATACTGAACATGTATGTCTTGGGGTAAAACTGCAAAGTTCTTTCTAAAGAATTAGAACCTTCAAATGAGAAAAATGATTGTAAGCAAGGAATGTGATGAAATTTATGAAACAGTGAACAGATGGGCAGATTTTTTTTTTGCATCAAGTCTGTATATACTGATTTAAGAGTTTGTTCAACAACAAAAAGGAGTGATACTTGGCACATTGTTAAATATGTAACTCATTATGTAGTATACACTGAATAAAGGAATTTTGAAAGTTTAGATACAGTAGTCTGATGCTGTGAAGTACTGCTCTGAAGGAGCCTGACTGGGTTCAAGCTCCAGTCTCACCACTCAAACAGTCTTGTAACCTCAGCAAGTTATGAGAACCCTCCAGTGCCTTGTTCCACTTGTAAAATGGGAAGAATCACAGTATCAGCTTCAACATGTAAAAGGCCTAGAAGAGGGACCTACATGGAGTAAACACTAAATGATGTTGTTAACCTTAGTATATAGAAGACCGGCACACTTTGATTTTCAGGCATGGCATTTAAAAAAGAAATTTAATGCCTTTAGATCAGACAGTTATCAGCGTGAGCTATTATCTCACTCCCAGCCTGATAAATTCATGTTACCTGCTTGCTCTGTAAGACTTGAGTTTGCAAACAGTGGTTTAGGAGAATTTGCGAATGATGGATTAATAACAAGTGATTACAAATAACTGGAGGCTGGCCCCACTAAGCATAGCCATGAGTTCTCCCTGCAAGCGGACTGCATTTTAACTATTGTTTACCAGTCTGTCCCTTGCTCATCCAAAGTTCTTGAGTGCAAGACCATGTTCTGTTCATCTCTGTATTCCCAGAACCTATCATAGATCCTGTTGCTGCTCCATAAATCTTTATGGTCTGGATGAACATGCCACAGTATAAGGTGGGGTGGTGGGCTCCAAGAAAAGGTTAATGGATTGGGGCTTATATGTAAGGGATGAACTGGGAGTTCATGTCAGAGGGTGGTGAGTGGACAGTGTATATGGCTTTCAAGCATCTGGACTGTGGGGTAAAGTTGGAAAGATAAATTATAGACACATTAAGGTGTTTGGGTTTGGAAAATGGCATGAAATTTGGAAATACTGGGCCATTCACAAATGGTCCATAATACATGTATTTTGTATATATGCTTATGAATATTATTTGCATTATTTCTAGTATAATCATATTTAACAAGCATACCTTTTGAGTCAGATTTGAAATAGATTATTCTTACTTGATAAGTCTATGGGTTGACTTTTTATTACCCAGTATAGATACTGTTTTCCTTTGAGTCACCCTTCTCTCCTTGAACAGTCCTGCCTTGGTGTTCTGTGTGTTTTCCCTTTTATTTTTAATCACGATTAATCTTCACAGCTGCTTAGTTATATAATAATATCCTGTGTGTTTAAACACAGGCCTACAGATTTAATTTCTCAGAGAACAAGTTCAAGAGCTTTTTAAAACCACAAGATCTCTTTTACGGGTGCTACAAAGATTCTTTTGGAGCTCAACATTAATGATTTGAGAAGCTATTTCATATATTTTACGTTTGTTGCTTGTTGCACTGGTTTCTATCCTGCGTTAATCTTGTAAGTGGACTAATAAGCTGAGAAAGTTCTCATTTAACATACAGACACCTGCTCTACTCCTTTCTTGTAAGCTGTTCAATGTAGTTGTTAGATTTGCTTGAATCTTGGTTTGGAGTAGTGTGTAATATTCTCTTTACTGAGTGATCATTTTCTAAATTAATGTATTTTCTTTTTACGCAAGTAACCTACATGGGTTCATTACAGAAATCTTGGGGAGGAAAATGATGCAAAAGCATAAAGGAAAAACATTTTTAAAATCAAATTGAGGGCTCCCCTGGTGACTCAGTGGTAAAAAGTCCACCTGCTGAGGCAGGAGACAAGGGTGCGATCCCTGATCTGGGAAGATCCCACACTCCGCAGAGGAATGAAACTGGTATA